GACGCGAGACCCCGTCTCTACTATAAATAGAAAGAAATTAATTGGCAACTAATATATATAGAAAATTAGCCGGGCATGGTGGCCATGCCTGTAGTCCCAGCTACTTGGGAGGCTGAGGCAGGAGGATCGCTTGAGCCCAGGAGTTTGAGGTTGCTGTGAGCAGGCTGACGCCACGGCACTCACTCTTAGCCTGGAACAAAGGAGACTCTTGAATTGGCTGGTGAAAAACCATGGGATCGCATGGAATAATCCTGGGAGAGAGCGCAGGAAGAGAGGTAGTGACAGCGCAGTCGGAGGAAGGTGGCATTCAGGACGAAGAGGAGTCCGCAGGGGGCTGAGCAGGTGACTGGCAGGCACCATCACGGCTGCAGCGAGCCGAGGCACTGCTGACCAGGAATCCAGCCGGCTTAGCGTGCAGGACATCAGAGCTCATTCCCTCCCAGCCTCCCCTTCGAGACTGCAGGGGTAGAAGAGGGTGTGTTTGGCAGAGAAATTAAAAAGGAAAAGGAATGAGAGAAAAGCATTTTCAGACTAAAAATGCCTACAAAATTGAGCTGGGAGAAGGCAAAAATGTAGCTTATTATAACCAATATGGGGAGAGGGCTGCGACCAGGACACAGAAGAGGGAGGGAACTACTGCTATCTGTGAGGAGTGGGATTGAAGAGGGATTTCTGCCTCTCTGGGAGCGAGGAGTACCCGGCTGCACTGCAGAGGCTGAGGAAACAGAATGGTTTGAAGCATCTACTGTAAAGTATGGAAGAATAGGACTACACTTCCCAATTTCTATTGTGTGTTTTCGGAGGTTTTTTTTGAGACAGAGTTCACTCTGTTGCCCAGGCTGGAATACAGTGGCATAATCACGGTTCACTGTAACCTTGAACCTGGGCACAGCGATCCTCCGCCTCGGCCGCCCAAGTAGCTGTGGAATACAGGTGTGAGCCACATGCTGGCTTTTTTAATTATTACTTTTGTAGAGACGGGCTTGCTTCATGTTGCCAGGCTGGTCTTGAACTCCTGGCCTCAGGAGATCCTCCTGCCGTGGCTCCCAACAGTCTAGGATTACAGGCATGAACCATCACACCCAGTCTATTTGTGTATATAATTTACATAACTCTGCCCCAAAAAATGGTTTCATTATCACTGACAGATGATACTTGAAAAATTACTAGTGTAAATAAGTTCTTTTAATACAACTGATGTACCTGAATACTTAAAAAAAACAGGTAAATTATTTGCCAAATTTATTTTGAAACTTCTCTCTTCCTCTTTCTCCTTTTTTGGCTAGTACCCATTAGATCTCAGAAGACACTAGGATTCTTTTGAAACTCAACCTGGGAACATTAAACATGTCGGAAAGCAGAGATAAATTTTGCAGATTCAATAGAGCACATAGCCATACCATCCTTGACATCGCGCTCATACAAAAAAAACAACTAACAAAAAGTTGACAAGGGAACAATTACACAGAACAACCACCAAACAGCACAATCTATGCTACTCTATACACCACTCTCTATGAATTCACTAATAAACTAATCCACCTCAAGCTACGTGGCTTAGTGATGGAAGACACTTAATCCTAATAAAAAAATCCAACCAAAAAATAAAATAATAACATTAACTCCGAAGAAGGTTACGGCTCATCACATACATGGTGCTATTATACAACTCATTCTCGCGCCACTCGCCATCTTTCACTATTTCTCCAAATTCCACTTCACCAAGACCAAACACCACTCCATCATATAGACCCGGCAAATCCACGTTTTGCAATGACACCGAGGACTGCAGATGAATAGTCAACCAAAAAATGTGGTTATCACAGCCGCCTCGCCCTCTCCCCCAGCCCATGTGAAGCACCTCCATAGCTCAAAAGAAGATGGACCAGGGTGTCTCGCTAGAATAGGGAAGATCTTGTGCCTTGTCATCAAGTCATACTCATAAGGCCATCATCATTCTTGATTATAAGACAAGAACTCGATATATAAGGATAAAACTCTGCAGAAAAACAAGGTCAACCAGAATAAGGTGCTGATGCTAACACCAATGTTCAAAATCCACTTAAACATAATGGTATCAATACAAACAAAAGAACCAAAACAAAAAGCGATAGAACCACCTCCCCAGCACCAGGAGTCTCAAGACACCTGTACCTGAGGGCCCAATCTACATGAGCAAAAAACACAATATAGCCTCTGTCTCTCGCCCAGCAGCACATGTCCTGTATCCCAGTACTCCGGAACGCCATCAGGTGTCGGAATGGCAGAAGACCCCTCTGCCTCTCAGCCAACGAATGCGTTGAGCGCACCGTGAGCATAATGATATTGTCGCACATGCACTCTAAGCCCCAAGAGTAACCAGAGCAAAGCCACCCTGTATACTCAACTCAGAACCCCCAATACATGAAAATGCAACTGCAAACGAACATATAAACACATTCCTGCCATATAGGTCAGCTCCCACCTCCTACGCAGCCTCAGCACCACAACAAAATGGTCACTTTCAAATCATCCCACAAATTCTGGCAACATAACAGGAAAAGATCCACATGAATAAAAATGGGCCCAGAATCAGGACGACAAATAACATGTATATGGCATAGCCATTAAAGTGACATTTTAAAGATAAAGTCAGTTTTAAGTGAAAACAATGAAAAATAAAAACAACGTTCAATTAAACGTTCTGTCTCCAAAATAAAAATATAGCATCTGAGGCTTCGCTGACAAACAGCCTTTCCCAACTTAGTCCTGCCCAAACTACAGCCGACAGGTTGAGAAACTTGTTCTTTATCGTAGACATTTCCAAGGTTCAGAAACCCAATTTCATCAGGCTAAAAACAGTTATAATGGGCTACCAAACAGATGCGAAATTAATATTAGTTAAGATCAGGTCATACTCACTGAGGCGTCAGCTCACGTAGGCATCCTCTTTGCTCAGGTTGGTTTCGAACTCCTAAGCTCAAACGATCCGCCCACCTCGGCCTCCCAGAGAGCTAGGATTACAGGCGTGAGCCACCGCGCCCGGCCTCAACTGAGTCTTGAACTTCTCCACTTTTAACTCCTGTTGGCACCGATAAACCGTTTCTCCTCGTACCTTATCACATTGGTCTGACCATAATTCATTATGGGAGAGAAACTTGAGTGTCATGCCTCATTTTTCTTTCCTAACACCTATCTGCATTTGTCATGGAGGCTCTCTCAGATTCATCTGCTTTTCTCTGCCAATAGTCCCCCACTCCCCTGCAGGCCACGGTGTGTGGTCGCATTCCACTCGATCACCCTGCTTTGAGTCTTGTTTCCCCCCAGGTCATTCTTCCCACTAGACTTTCAAGCATAAATCTGTCTGTTACTCCCCAGCTAAAAACCAGCCAGTGTCTTAGGAGAAAATCTCAACTCCGTGTTTATAGGGTCTGTCATGACCTGGCTCGCACCTACCCTGATGGACTCCTCTTGCCACTCACTGGTTCTCTGTAGAACTGGTGAAGTCCTCAACAGTTGGTTGTCCCTCACTTTTTGGCCTGTTGCTTCCTATTCACGACATTCCTTCCCCCACAAAACAGTCACACACTCTTGCTAGGAACTACTGCTTCTTTCAGAGCTATCTTTTCTGGAAAACCTTAGCTGACACTCCCCTCGCCCAGTCTGAGTGCCTCCTGTGCTCCGCTGGCAGCTTACTGGAGAAATGCTTTGTTCCTGGCATTGGGCTAAAGGCACTGAGGACGCAGTGGAGAGTGAGGAGGAGGGTTTCTGTTCTCAGGAAGCGCAGTCATGCTGTACCGTGAAGGTTTTCTTACAGTGTCAAACACTACCTTAGGGAACAGATGTCTAGCTTAGATCTCCCTGGTGCTTGTCACATGATGCTAAATACCGTCACCTGTGAATGAAGCTTAGGAACTGCTAAAAGGCTTAATTAGCTTTATTTCATCAGGATTATTTTGACTTTACACATTGATTTTTTTCAACTTTTAGCTCTAGTCTTGGTTATAACTGGTACATATTCCCTTAAGCAGCTTACACCCTTCATAAATTTATTATACACCTGAATTTTTGCAAGTATTTATGCTTTTTATTGTTGACCTCCACTTTTAGTGATTCTTAATGTTTACCTTTCTCAAGTAGCAGTTTTAAATTAATACCAGTTGTGCTTGCTCCCAGGACCCCTACGGAGTGGCAGTGGGTGGAACCGTGGGACACTGTTTATGCACTGGACTGGCGGTGATTGGAGGAAGAATGATAGCACAAAAAATCTCTGTCAGAACTGGTAAGTCTGTTTTTAAATTACAAAGCAAACACCATTTACCTTTTTTGAATCTTTGAGATTAGAAAAAGGGTATAAGCGTTAAGTTGTTACTTCTAAAGCATACCTGGTCTTTATCATTTCTAGAGGTGTTACTCCTGGTATTGCAAACTTGTAGTTTTTCACATGTGTATAAGTTAGTAAAATACAAATTCAGCTCATCTAAAAGCATTATTGAATTCATAGTACCTTTTTATTAGCATATTAGCCTGCAAAACAGTCATGTGGGAATATGTGAAATTTGGGGCCTTAAAACATGTCTTATATAAGACTGGGAATCTTAGGTGGAGACCATGTGTACTGATTCTGCTGAAAACTTCCCATGGAGCTATCAGTGTTAGGTCTAAAGATGGAATCACTAGCGTCTAAGAAGGCTGCTGAACATTCTCGTTTATAACTGGATGTTAATATAATCCTGTCATTTCTCAGAATGGTGCTAGAGAAGAAACTGATTCTTACTGTTCAGAGTTAAGCATGTTAGTTGCTGTACTTTGCTGTGTAAATGGGGTTTAAATGGTTTTAATTTGTTTTCAAGGTTAGTTTACTAGATTGGAAGAATAATAGGCCATCTCATTGGCTCCCTCATAATTTGATAACAGTCTCAAGGTACAAGAAAATTTTGCCATATTTGACTTTTTTCTTTTCTCTTCCAGTGACAATCATAGGAGGCATCGTTTTTTTGGCATTTGCATTTTCTGCATTATTTATAAGTCCTGATTCTGGTTTTTAACAAGCTATTCATCTGTATTTAGTTAAGATAGGTAACTGTACATAGTGTACATTACAACTAAAAGTGATGGAAACACTGTATTTTGTAGCATTGGTTTGTGAGTTTGACCCATTTAATGAAAGTATCATGTCTAAAGAGATAATCATTGATTCTATTTGTAACATGAGTTTTTAAAAGAAATCTGACTTCTAAGTGGATTTTTCTTCTCTCTGCATAATTATGATAAAGATATGATAATACCGTCCCCATTTCTGTTTTGGTACATACAGAACCATTGTGCAGTGGGGTCTGTCACTCGACTTTCTTTCAGCACTTGACCCACTTTATAAGGAATATAAATTTTCTCCTTGATCACTTAGGTATTTTAAGATGTTAACGTTTTTCTTGGGGAAAGAATGAATTAACTTCTATTGTTAAAACATCTCCCTGAGCCAGTAAACAGTAATTTAATCAGTCTTTTCAAAATTAGGTTCTTTGTTTTTAAAAAAGGGGGGATAAATATGATATTACTGTTAATATCAATAGTATGACACAACAAGAACTGTCTGCAAGGTCCATTCTTCCTCTTTTTTAATTGGGTAGGACACCCAATATAAAAACAGTCAATATTTGACAATGTGGAATTACCAAATTAAAAGAATACTATGAATGTATTCATATTTTTTCAATGTAACATAGATACGATGTAAATAAAAGTGGTATGACCAGTGCTTGTTTTTCCTTGTGTGTTATACAAGTTCATAACTTTCTAATTTGTCAAAATAGTAATAGACCCTTTTAAAAAGTTGATGTAAAAACACTGACATAGTAAATATTTGAGATACACCTAAAGCACCGCCCTAACCTTCACAGTTCTCTGAAGTAGTTAGTAGGTAATGTAAGGTTAAAAAAAAAAAAAGGAACCTCACCCCAAGGTTACATGGCGCAGAGCATAGTCAAACGAGACAGTTTAATTCCAGAGCCTGCAATCATTATGCTAAGACCATCTCACATTTTCTCATAGCAACTTAAGCAATCACCGTTATTTAAAGGTCCATAATGTAATTTTGAAGAGATTGTGGAAGAACCCAGCGTTGTCCGTGCAGCCTCTGGTCTGCATAGTAACTCGAAAGAGACATGGCTATTATTGTGAAGAGATGCAAAAGAGGTCCTCAGCTAGTAAGTAGCTTTAAAATGTTGAGTTCGGGCAGGATGGCTCACGCACTCTGAATGTCCCAGGCAGGAGGACTGCTTGAGCTCAGGAGTTTGAGACCAGCCTGAGCAAGACCCTGTTTCTACTAAAAATATACAGAAAAAATTAGCCAGGCATGGTGGTGCATGCCTGTAGTCCCAGCTACTCGGGAGGCTGAGACAGGAGGATCGCTTGAGCCCAGGAGTTTGAGGTTGCTGTGAGCTGGGCTGATGCCACGGCACTCTAGTCCGGGCAACAGAGTGAGACTCTTGTCTCAAAAAAAAAAAAAACATGTTGAGTTAGAAGTAGCACATATTGATAAAGGACAAAAGGTCATTTTTGGAAACTTTTAAGAAGTTCTCTACCGTAAAAAAGTACATATTACAGGGTAGAAAAACACATGAATTAAGATAAAGCACTTCAAAGAAATTTCAGGTTAGGTCCACACACTAACACCTTCATTCTCTATGGTTAGGCACCCCTAGTACTGCCTTACCTTATTATAAACAGAGGGAGAGAGGAATTATCATCAATACTACTTTTCCTGGTCAGAAAGGAGAGTTCCTTGTAGAAAGTAGCTGGTACCATCATAACCTAAACGCAACAGTTGGGGGAGCCCAGTCCTAGTCCTAGCTGATCATGCATAGCGTTCTGAGATACCACAGTCATGTAGCCGGACATAACTCCTTTGAGAAAATGTGGTACTTCAGACCTACAAGGTAAAAATTGCTAATGCAGTTAGGCTCCACTATTGAATAAAAGAAAGGAAAGTATCATTGGTAGTGATTTTAAAATATTTAATAGTCTTTAAAATCCAAAATAATGTGATTCTTACAAGTTATGTGCCACATGAAGCAGGTGTTATTTTTTGAGAAATGCAGGTGATACTGAAAAACATTATATAGCACTGAGGTATTTTTTATTTTTAAAACTGAAGAAGGAAACAAAGTCTAGTTCTAATTATTTTTACATTTACAAAAAAAAAAATGCTACTGCTTGGCTCTTTTGCTATAATTTTAGGCTCTGAATACATTACAAGAGTCTATGGGAAAGAGCATTATAATAGTACATGTAGTTTTTAAAAGCTATGCACATCAAACCTGGAAAAACGGTCATACAGCAAGAGGCAGAGTGGAGGTAGGCTAGTACACATTTGACTTTCTTCTCAAAGGATAGCTTTGAAAAACAAGTGTAACCAATTGTTAACACCAAATTAAAATGGCAATATTAAATTGGTAACAAAATGATCCACATATTTTATACAATATTGTATTTCCAAACACAAAAATCAGATCATGAAAACCAGAGAACCTAATATAGCACCGTTGTAACCATACATTATCCCTCAGCTTTATTATAATTTAAGATTTTGGCAGAAGACAACACCTGAAAAATGTCAGTCTCATTTTTAATAAATCATTTGGATTTCAATGAAACGTTTGTTTTAGGAAAAAAAAGTATTCCTATCTCAAGATCAGTTAGCCATTTATAGCTCCACTTTGGAAGTAAGAATGATGGGCTACATCTACTTTTAAATTTAAAACCAAGAACCAAGCAGTAAGGACAGCAATGTCAAGAATATCACATTAAGAACCACAAAGAACATGAGAAAGAATTGGGTGCATGTTTTTACAACTACGAACTGATGTCAACAATTATAAATTTACAAAGAGAAAACTTTTTTGCACTAACTGGTTTCAAGACAGCACTGAATTTAACTCATCTTTGGGCTTCAACTTTACATAGAGTGAATATGAAAGTGCCATACTGAGGCCCTTCTCCAACTTATAATGTCACAGTAAAATAAATTTCAAAACAATTCCAGAATGATCTAAATTATACCTGTTCTGGCTGACGTAATATTTAAAAGACATTTTCTGGCCAATTTTTTCCTTGAAGATGATTGTCTAGTTTTACAATATATCAATTTGAAGATAACATAGCTTTTCCCCCCATTTTAACTCTTCGGTACTGGCACAACCATGGCCAGCAGTGAACCTGTACCAGTCCAGGCCAACTCAAAAACAACATTAAAAACATCTGAATGTCATCTTTTAAAGCGATGTCACAGTTTGTTTCCTCAGAAATTTAAAAGCATTTATTTGAAAACATTATCTTCATTTTAACCCTCAGAGTTATAACATTTTTTACGCCATTAAATTCAACTTGTGACTGACACGATTTAATTACCATTTCCTAAGCTGTGTGCTGCACCCAGCTTGTGGGACCCCAGAGCTACTCTAGGAATCCAATGCATGTCAACAAGGATCCTCAAACGTCTGGGCTTCACACGTTCAAACACTGCTTTATCGGACAGTGCTGTAACTTGGAGGTTTTGTTACATTTTTAAAGACCAAAGAACACTACACTATAAGACAGCAAACATTTTTTGCAGAAGTTTTCAGTGTGTATGTTCCACCTATATTTAAGGACTTTAAATGGACTTTAGTAAGGATATGCTAATGACAGCCATTAGAAGATACTGTTTGTTTTACTAACATTTCCCAAAATGGGCAAAATAGAGGCAACATGTGCCCCTGGTTCCGTGTACTGGCCTTTGGCTGTGTTGGGGAAGTAATCATACAAAAAGTGCCCATAACATCGAGAAGGCAGCAAGTGAGACTAGACAAAGGTTGGAGCTATATGAAGCAGATTCGAAAGGAGTTACCTTTATAAATTTTTTCTTAAATGGGTGGAGAACAGGAAGGAAGTACAAGGACATCTGGCTTTGGGCCCTCCTCTGCTGTCCTGAAGTAAAACAGACTCAGACTGTCCATGAGGCATCATCAAGAAGGCTAATGACTGTACCCCAAAAAAAAGCCAGTTCTCTAAGATTACAATGCAAAACAGAAAACAAACCACAAATTAAATACATGACACTGAAATCACTTTGATGAGAAGACACAAAGATATTTAAAAATATAAATAAATACATTTAGCCATTTTTATTCAAGAAACCCAGAAAACTGCTTTCAAAGCAATTACTTCTTTCAACCACCTAAGTTCTTTCTAAAATACTTACTATTTTGATTGTCACTGAACGCAGCACCTCAGTGTTTGCTGGTGGTGGTGGTGATGGAATTTCACTTAATAGTCTCTTCATAAACTATATCCTATTTCACTAAAGAATGTTTTCCTGGGAAAACCCAGGTAGCTTACAAATTATTGTAAAACACTCAAAACAAAGCCTACAAAGTATTATTTTTATTTAAGAAAAACAAGGAATGTAGTGTTATGACATGGGGAAAAAAAACTATGCAAAACAGTCACATGGAAAGAAAGTATTTTAATTTTTAAATATCCAAGTTTGCTTAATTTGTGAGTTCAACACTTTTAAATATCCTGAATTAATAACTGTACCAACAAAATTCATCCCCAGTGTTACCACAGGAGACATTAAAATAAGACCAAATTATTCTTTTTTCCCTTTAACCAAAGTAGTCTTTTTCTCAGTCCTTTTTGTGCAAAAATATTACAAGAGCAATTCAAATGGAAATGCTGAAATGACATGCCAACATTTCAGGGCACATTTAAAACACTCAGAATAATTCTTGAAATTATTGTATTCTAAAATAGTACTACCAATCACTTTTAGATTAGTTCTGTAATCTACTCACGCGGATGCAATTTTAATTTTCCTAGACCTCTGAAAATAAACAGGCTCATTGGTCTCTTTTGGTGTCCACACAATAGGCAAGATAGGTTTACAATAGTGTTTAAATGGAACTAGGCATCTACAATCTCTTGACTCCACCACATTCAAAACAAAAGTCAAAGTTCATTTGGCTACCTTGAAATCACTCCCATAAACCTACTATGGTTCACTGGATCTAAACATTTCTCAGAAATGTGTCATTTATAATTTCACCTAAGTGATGATTTGGGGATCCTTTAGAAATGGTTAATGCCTAAGATAATAAACTTTATCAAAATGAATAATTGCAATAAAGTGCTTGTTACATTTCAAAATGATGCTTTTAGACTGTGGTATGTTGCTTTAAAAGTGTGTGCTATTCCTCCCATAAAGGATCCCCAGGCATGAGAGTTGGGTCTTCTCACCTGTCTCAAAAAGCAGCAGCACTATCTTTTGGTAGGCTGACAATAGGCACGTTACCCATGCGGATGAGGCTATGCTAGTGCTATGGCAAAAGGGGGAGTAAATTAGAAAAGTGGGAGGCATGTGGGGTTCCTACTATACTCATAGTTATATACAAATATATTAAATATGCTATAAAAATAGTCAACTCTTTTCCTTTGCAATGACTTCAGAAGCTCCTTTTAGAGGAATGCTCACCCAATGCAAACGAACTTAAAAGGTTCTCTTTCTCCCATCACTATTTAAATGGCAAGTGCCTTTGTGCTGTTTCTTCTCTACCATTCACAAATTCCGGTCAGCTTACTCTTGGCTAGACTCACTCAGCAATATTAATATCCAGTGTTTATACCTTCCAACACAGACTCTCGTGGGACTAAGAACAGGGCCACAGATAAAGAGTTTTACACAAATGCTCATCCATGAACTTTCAATCACCAAAGAAACAAAGAAAAATGTAGAAATTCTAAAGTAAAATGCTATTTGCATTCCACTTGAAAAAACATTTGCCTCAATGTAGTGGAAACATTTTAAAACATGTTGAGTAATATCCAGTTTAAAAGAATTTTCACCTGTCTGTGTAAAATACTGTTTTAAGGGTCCCTTTCTAAGGCTTCTTGAACAAGGGTTCATCTCCCTTCAACACAACGCCCTTTCCAGAGCTGGGCTGCTTCAGTGCCCGTAAATTCAAGCAGACAGCTTTTAAGGCAATAACCAACAACTGTAGTAGCACTTCTGAAGAATCCAAACAACATTTTCAGTATTCTTTACTGAGTATTCTATACAAACTATTCAAAATCACTGGCATCCTTTTATTACTAGTACATTCCGAAGCCAGATTTAAGTTATGAAGGAGAGCACAGCACTCTAAAACCACCCCCTCAATTTAGAATGTTCAGAGGCTGAACTGTAGTATTTACTTACATGCTACACCCATTCCCGACATGTGCTCCTCCAGTATCTTCCACTCACAAAAGGGAGTAGGTTCTGGTTAGACAACACTCAGCAGCAACCTTATTCATCCTTGTAGTTCTCACTTGTGTTTGTTAAACAATACTGACTCGCCCAGTGCCAAGGCAATCCAAAGCAAGACAAGGAACTGCAGAGCAGCTAGCAGTTTTCCTTAACCTCAACAGTTTCTTACCTGAAAAGTGCCACACAGAATAAGTGTTTTTAAGAAACACTGCATACATGTGAGAGTAAAGCAGAGGGAAGATAAGACTTTTTAAGAAGCTGAAAGGTGTTTCTATTTGGTATCTTTTCATGATTTAGATTTGGGATTTTAATTAACAACTTTGGCTACAGAAATGAAGAACAGGCAAGTGCTGACTCTTCATCTGAACGCTCCGGTGTCACCGGGGAGGGGGCAGGGACAGCTTTGCAACCCAAATTTAAGAGGAAAGCAAAGGGAAAGCAGCAGCTAACAGGCAGCTAGTGCTTCCGACACACTTCATACGGATAGTAGAGGAAAAGCAGCTAGCTGCTCCTTCAAATAAGCAACTGTTAATTCCAAGCAGGAAAAAGATGAGCTGTGAAGAACAACAAAAATTATAAAGGAACATTTCATCTTTCCCAGATATTTGTGAAGATGGAAAATATTTGAAGGGGCTGGCTTGTCTTATGCTTTGCTTCTGTTAAGTACCTAGTACTCACAATTCACCGTCTTTCTTTTAAGTATAGTAGAGGATAAAGCCGTAATATAACAGTTATTCATATTCTTTGTTAGCTAGATCCATATCACTAGGTATTGCCAATAAATAAATGAGGCACAACTCAGACATAAATGGAAGGGCGGAAGGCAATTTGAAAGGGGAGAACAATGCTGTTGCCATATTCTACGACATCCATCTTGTCCATGCATATGTATGCTCAAGGACATACGTACTCCAACAACTATTCTTGATATTCTCATGGGAATGTTGGAAATCTCTTCTGGATGATCATTTAGCCAGAAGAGCTCCTTGATATGTTAATTATTGATTGGTATCTAGTCACATTCCTTTTGTAGAAAGGTAGGTACCAATTTTCTTTGGTTGTTTTCTTTTTCAACATTACTTTTCAAATTTAATTGTGGCCAGGTACAGTTTTCTACAGAAAGACAAAGTCTATCCCTTAAGAATGACAGCAAATCTTAGGACAGAGAAGTCTTAAGAACTGATTTAAGACTTAACTAGCAATTTTGCATTAGGTTATTTTCATTGCGTAAAACTTTTCCTGTTTAACAACCTCAATTCTGTTATACATTTTCTTTTAAGGTCAATTTTGATTTATTATGCTTGTTCTCCACCCTTTCCTAAGTAATCATCTTTTATATTCTAATGTATTTTCCATTAATCTTTTGTTCTATAGCTGTAAATTTCATTATTAGTACCATAAAATCTATAAACTGTTTTAATGTATGTAATTTGTGTTAGAATTTATTACCTTTAGCATGTGATATTGCCAAATGAAATCTTAGTTCACATTTAGAAAGCATGTGAGTTACAACAGTTTAGTGCTATGGTGAAGGCAAAGCCAAATTCCTATGCCTTCTTTTTGGCTTTGTAGGAATATCAAGATCATATTGAGCAAATACTGGTAATTCTTAAATGATAACTTAGCTTTAAAGAAAGACGCTGATTTGGGAAACAATTTTGGAATCACATTAATAACTGTAGTAGTGTTAGGTTATCATCTTTTATTTCTAAATTATTTGTACCTCCAGTCCAAGAAACTGACAGCAAGTTCAAAGGAACTTAGGAGAATAATAATGACACTGATACCCACATGCTGTTAAAAATGTACTAAGGTTTCAAAACTGCTACTGAAACCAGACAAGAGTTCAAGATGGTGAGTTATCACCTGAATTAAAATCAAGGCACTATGGGTTTTTTTTCCCCCTCAAATAACCCTGAATCATTTCTGACTGAAAGAAGCATTGAAATTGTGAAGGATAATAAAAAAGATTCCAACAAATCCTAAAAGTTAAAATTCCCACCACTGAGAATGTTAAAAAGTGCCTAAGGTGTTTTGTGTGCAAATTTTACCTCTATAACTGAAACATTCTTGAAATTACTTTCAGGCTTGTTGAAAACCATTTACACAAATATTTCCAACTATCAACTATATCAAAATATGCAATCAAAAATCCCAACCATCTAAAATAAAGCAGTGCAAATACTAGTTTCAAACATAATTGACAAATAATGAAATGAGGGATATATCTGAATAACTTGAAAATCCTGTTGTATCAATAATTTAACCTGAAAAAAATAATCCATTCCCAGCAGCACATCATACCTCACTGAACAAACTGTGACATCACAGCCAAAGTATGAACAAAAAGACTTGTGCCCTGGAAAAATGAATAGAACACTACTGTGCTGTAAACAAAAGGAAAAACAGGATGTATCAGTTTGCACATGGTATCAGAATCTAAGGAAATGTACTCACACCTATAAGGAAGAGATAATGCTTTCATGCAGCATACAACATGTTTTGCTTTCTCTCCTTTTATCCAGACATATACATATTTTTACAACATCTGTACACAGAAAATTTGAACCTACACAACATTCTGAAAGTAATTACTGTTCCATCATTATCTGAAAAGGGACAGGAAGTTGGGGCGGGGACTACTAGTCTAGTGGACTGTCTTCATGGCATCATTGTAAGCAAACCCCTGGCGTGGCAGTGGCGTGTCCTCTGTGACACTCGACAACAGGCACAGAACCACTCACAGTCACTAACATCGTTAGCGCCTTTCTGATTCACTGGAGGGCGTTTCATAGCTGAGCTCAACATTTGGCAATATACTCTTTCCATCAAAAAATATCTGGGCAACTAGAACACTGTCAGAATTGGCTATGTCCCTATGGTCATCTGCTGGCTGGTATTTAATAGACATCTGTAGCACTAGGCAGCGTTTTCTCTGCCGATTCCAGGAACTAGACCATTCAATGCCGCATCTCGTGAAACTGCTGGAACTTCTCCTCCCGTCCTCAGGTCATCTGAGTAGCTCTTCTGGGGCCATCCCCTTCCTCCCTTGATGCCAGAGAGGAAGCGTGTGTGCTACTGTGGCGGGACCTTGGAGGGGTCAGTCAAACTGTCAGTCCTGTGCCGCCCGAGCTGCTGCTGCGGCTGAGACTGGTGCTGCTGGTGATGCGACGGGGGGAAAGGGCCCTGCTGCAGAGGAAACGCGGCAGACAGGATGAGCTGGGTCGAAGGGTTCCCATGGAGCAACCTAGAAGTCTGAAAAACAAATGGATTATGCAACAGTTCTTTGCCCCCCATCATAGTGTCCACATAAGATTTACTCAAGCTGTTTACTGTCAGCCGGGCGTGGTGGCTCAAAGCCTGTAATCCTAGCACCCTGGGAGGCCGAGGCGGGAGGATCGCTCAAAGTCAGGAGTTCAAAACCAGCCTGAGCAAGAGCGATACCCCCGTCTCTAATATAAATAGAAATTAATTGGCCAACTAAAAATACATAGAAAAAATTAGCTGGGCATGGTGGTGCATGCCTGTAGTCCAAGCTACTCGGGAGGCTGAGGCAGGAGGATCGCTTGAGCCCAGGAGTTGGAGGTTGCTATGAGCTAGGCTGACGCCACGGCACTCACTCTAGCCTGGGCAACAGAGTGGGACTCTGTCTCAAAAAAAAAAAAAAAAAAAAGTTGTCCACTGTCCATAGGGACAAGATCCTGAAATTCTACATAACCCACATGATTTTTGTTCTCTACTTTAAAAATTGTATTTTGGACAATGCTTATGAGGCTTTCTTTTCTTCTTTCTGGAAGTATGACAGGATTTTATTTAAGGAATCTGAACTGGAGGTTTCACGGTATAGGAACAATCCATGTCTGAAGACAAGCCACGCGCGTTCTTCCACTTTATGTCCTACAGACCTATATTTTACAGAGTAAAATTTGAGCACAGCTCTGTAAAACGTGAATACTGGGGCCAAGCGGGAAATGCCTTTGCACGCTGGGTTGCTGAGCTCCTCAGAGCAGCGCAGTGAAGCGGCCGAGGCGCGGGCTGCCCCAGTTACTGGATGTGTCACTTGGTCGAGCTGTTCACTTCTCCGGGCCTCAGTTTCTTTATTCCCATATAGGAATAACGTCTACCACATTGGGTTTTTATAAAGATTGGGTATTAATATTGTTTAAAAGCACCGTAAAAATGAGGGCAAAGTTGGAAGCTGAAGTCCAAGATGAGCCCAAGTTCCTAACAATGACATACACTGCTCCCTCCATAGCATTTCTCCTCTGATATTAATTTATAACTGAAGAATTGCAATAAAATTTACTCCAACTAAATAATTTAATACCTATACTATTATAATAAAAAGAAATTCCTACTTTGAAAATAGTTTGATGGGCAGCTAGAAAGAAAGAGAAAGAAAGATGCCTTTGCTTAAATTCCAGAAACCCCTGCCCAAGACAGAGAAAACGGGCAGTACGTAACGTGCCGTCCGGTGGGCCGGGAGCAGGCTGCCCATCCACCCTGCAGCTCGGATCGCCGAGCTTTCCCGGGGCGGCCGAGTCTTCCAAAGAGTGAAGAAGGGAAGAAAGCAATAGCTGAACAGGACGGGCTTTCGATCTTTGTGGAGGTTTAAACTGTACAATAAGCTTTTGTGAGTTTTTCAGATCGTTTACACAAGTGTTCGCTCAATGCTCTCACTGCACTGTGAGCACGACGGGCGGGTCACCTGTAAGAACTGCGGCGGCGGCTGGGCCAGCTGAGCCTGAGATGGTTGCTGCGCCGGAGCGAGCTGCGGGTCCTGCGAATTGGGCTGCGGCTGCGGCACCGACAGCGACTGCGACTGCTGCGTGGCGAAGGTCGGGTAGGCCGTCACCACCTGGCCCATGAGCATAGTGCTGGGCACCATGACCGCCCCGCACGCCACGGGAGCAGTCACTAATTTGGTCACGAGTTGCTGACCTTGAGAAAATCTGTTAGAAGAAAACAAAGAAGTTGGAGTCCAAAATACAAGGTACACATCCTACAAGGCGGCGGGCTGAATAACTATCTAAGATATAATAATGCCTGATGATACTGCCAACCCAGTTTGTTAAAAGCTTTATGTTCCTATTTTGTTTCATGTTTTTAAATATCCCCTTTGGGATAGCAAACAAAAATGTATACAGCAAAATCAACATGACAAAAATCTCAGGTTTTTTTGGATATCCATATTCAAAAGGATGAAGTTGGACTCTTAACTCACATCATATACTAAAATTAACTCAAAATAGATCTAAGACCTAAACATAAAAACTAAAACATAAAACTCTAAGAAAACATAGGAGAAACGCTTCTAAACATTGGATTTGACAATGATTTCTTAGATGTGACACCAAAAGCACAAGCAATGAAAGAAAAAAAACAGATAAAATGGACCACATCAAATTAAAAATTTTGTGCGTTAAATTTCTGTGCACTATCAACAGAGTGAAAAGCAACCCACAAATGGGAGAAAATGTTTGCAAACCATATATCTGACAATGTAGCCACTCTATGAACAAATTTCAATGACCCCTATTACGTTCTTTTTATAATCTCCTCCTCCCTTAGCTAAAACTTCTTGAACTTTTTGAGTTGTTTCCCAGAATTGGCAGAATTTTTACGAGACAAAGGAATTGAGATTTCAAAGGCCCCAGAGTAAAATTCCTGAAGCCAAGAATCACCATTCCCCACGAACTGCCCCAAAAAGCACAGGGCCCCTCCTTAGAAAGCCCAGGATCTCTATTGGTCTGGAAGACAGATTTGAGACTATTTCTCCCATAATCTCAACAGACGTCTTTCACATTAAACTTCCTTTCTTCCTTGGCAATGCTCTCATTATCTCAATAGTTGGATCTTTGTGCAGCGAGCAACTGGATAAGGGGCTAATAGCCAGAATATATAAGAATTCCTATAATTCACCAACAGTCAGCTCAATTAAAAAATGGGCAGCGGTCAAACTTGAATAAACATTTCTCCAAAGAAGATATACAAATGGTTAATAGGCATATGAAAAGGTGCTCAATATCACTAATCATCAGAGAAATGCAAAGCAAAGTCACAATGAAAGCTACTTCACACTCATCAGGATGGCTATTATAAAAAAAACAATAGAAAAAACCAGGGCTGGCAAGGATGTGAAGAAACCCTTGTACACTGCTGATGGGAATATAAAATAGTACAGCCACTATGGAAAACATTATACAGTGCCTGAAAAAAAAAATCAAATATAGAATTATCATATAAAGCAATTCCACTCCTGGGTATATATCCAAAAGAAGTGAAAGCAGGGACTCAAACAGATATTTGTACACTCATATTCAAAAGTAGTAGCATTAGTCACAAGAGCCAAAAGGTGGAAGCAACCCAAGAATCCACTGACAGAGGGAATGAATAAGCAAATGTGGTATATACACACAGTGGAATATTATTTAGCCTTAAAAAGGAAGGAGATTCTGACACAATGAGAGCATCCTACTAAGTGCAATAAGCCAGCCACAAATGAGCAAATACTACAGCATGATTCCACTTATATGAGGTACTTAAGGTAGTCAAATGTGCAGACAGCAACACAGAGGTTACCAGGGGCTGGGGGGCGGGAGAGTGGGGAGTTACTTGTTTAGGACGGTGGCTGCTGAGGATGGGGGATGGGAGTTTAAGGAGGACAGAGTTTCAGTTTGGGAAGACTTAAATTCTGGAGATGGTTGAGGGTGGTGGCAATAACCATGTGAATGTACTTAATGACCCTAACTGTACACTTTCGATTGATTAATAAAATAAATGTTGTGTTATGTATATTTTACCACAATAAAAAATGTTCAACCTATAAAAACAATACATGAACTTTTTTCTTTTTCTAAAATTACTAGGTACTTGGTAGTCAGATATATATGGTGCATGCTTTATTTGCCACATTAGCACAGAGTTCATGAATGAACTTAAAGCTATCATGAGGTAGTTTTTTAAAAACTCTAGGTTTATAGAGGAAATTCACACTGAAAGTTGTATCTTACAAACATAATTCAAAACCAAATGACATTCTAACAGTCCTCTCAATTTATGAATTTATCATGTAGCACACTGCCCACTGTGCTAGAATTCACTGATTTTCCTTCCGTCCCTGACATCCTTCTACTATCCATATAAAAGAAAAACAAAGAATGATGCCTTTTCAGGGAACAATATTATTTCCACTTGCCTTTTCTGTGAGATGAAGTTAGTTCCTAACACTGGCCATTACTGTGAGGAAACTGACATATGACCCTACTGTAGATGTGGCATGATATCACTGCAATTATGTTTAAAGTATAGAACAGTATAAAATTATAAATAATTCATTTTGAATCCATGCCAGATCTTGAACATAAAATACATTTTATATACTCCACAACCAAATGCTTTAATGCAAAACAAAAAAAGAATTAAAGATTTTAAAAGAGGCCGGGCGTGGTGGCTCACGCCTGTAATCCTAGCACTCTGGGAGGCCAAGGCGGGTGGATTGCTCGAGGGTCAGGAGTTTGAAACCAGCCTGAGCAAGAGCGAGACCCCATCTCTACTATAAATAGAAAGAAATTAATTGGCCAACTAATATATATAGAAAAAATTAGTCGGGCATGGTGGCGCATGCCTGTAGTCCCAGCCACTCGAGAGGCTGAGGCAGGAAGATTGCTTGAGCCCAGGAGTCTGAGGTTGCTGTGAGCGAGGCTGACGCCACGGCACTCACTCTAGCCTGGGCAACAAAGTGAGACTCTGTCTCAAAAAAAAAGATTTTAAAAGAAGCAAGTAACGTTTACAAAGTACACATAGTCACAGAAGTGCTAAGTACTAATATCTCTGGAATTTTAAAGTTAATATCTGAATTGCCTAATGGCTCACTGGTAATGTAATAAGAATACTTCATACATCTCTGGCACCACAAGACATTCTTTAATCTATTTTTGTTTAACTCACACTTCTGTGGCTTTATATATACTGCTCCGTCTGCCTAGAGTCCCCGCCACATGCACACCCAAAGCCAAGCTCTTTAAGGCTCAGGACAAGTTTCTCCTCCTCTGTGAAGGTTTCTTGACCACACTCTATTCACCTGCTTGCCTCAACCCATGGAACTGCTCACTACCTCCTCTCTAAAGACCTATTAAGTATCCATCACACCAAATACTACTGATTTGTTTGCCTTTCTATTGCTTTTTCTAGTCTAGTTTTTCCCAAAAAGGACCATGCCATACTCATCTAAGTAGGCCTTCAAATACTGGTTGAAAAATGTTTTTTTCTACCCGAAAAAAAGGAGATATTTACAAATAGCTGCTCACTTTACAAAATGCATATAGCAGCATTCTAGTTTAATGTCTTTTTCTCAGGCTTTAAAAACAATCCCCTGAGATTCTATGGAGCACATGCATAAGACTTGCTAGCTGAATATTAGAGCTAGAAGTTGGACTTTTTAAGTTGCAGGAACTTAGCTCCAAAGAGAAGCAATGAGTTCTCCCTGCTCTCATTGCCTATGTGATATTGCAGCTTCTTTGCTCTCTGGAAATTATTAACAAGATTTTCATAAAATATATTATACTGTCTAATGCAACAGCAAAAATGTATTACAAACGTAGCAGCCTACTTGTAATAAAATAGATTTAAAAAATGCATTTAAAATAGGAAATTTAAGACTACAGAGATCCTATAGCTGTTAAAAGACAGCTTTCCCAACATATGAATGGCATTTCTTCAAGAAATTTGTTTCTAAGTCAGCTTTTTGGACTTCCTGCTAAAATAAGCACAGATGGCTGTTTTTCTAGAATAGTGCAGAAAAACTCGGTACGATATATGTTTAAGCACTTGAGCTCTGAAGTCAGACATCAAGGTTTGAGTTCAGAGCCCCCTCCTCACTCCTTTAGCTATACAGGCCCTTGACCGAATTATTAAAAACCCACCTTTTCTTTATCTGGAAAACAAAAGACCATAACATATTTGTTTTTAAATGAGAATTAAATGAGATAATATATTTTGAACATTTAACAAACTTAAAAAAGGTAAGCTACCTTAACCATTGTTAGTACGTGAAAACACTCTAACATTTGTATCGAAAAGACAAAACCTTCACAGTGACACAAAGCCTATCATAAACCGTGTATAACAGTGATCTGTAGAATGTGGATCCTACAACACTGCGGTAGCATTTTTTTAAGCAAGAAACAAAATCTGTTGTTACCCTTTTTATTATAAAGTCCTTAAGCGAAAATACATTGTGTTTTTATTTCAAATCTAAGAACACTGGCTGCAGTAAGCAACAAACTAAAAAATCATGCTTTTAAGAATCAAATTATTGTTTTTAAATTAATCAAGCTACTACTTTGAAAATGCCAGATGAAATATGACAACTACCTTATCTGTCTGTCCTGAGTGAACGTGGTGACTGCAGCACTCTGGGCGCTGCTCTGCGGCAGGCTAGACGGGATCTGCACCATGCTCCCCGCTGCAGGCTGGGAGATCACCATAGTGTTGTACAGGGGGGCTGGGAGGGCACCCTGCGTCTGACTGGGGAGAGACGTCTGCTGATTGTGCCCGCTCAGCACATTTTGTTGACTCTGCTGAAAAAGACAAAATTTTACAGACTGATTAGCTGAAGAAAGTTATTCGGGAAGTATGATTCTCCTGTTCATCGTACTCCCAATACAGGACATACTGCTCTGCAAGAAATCTGACTGCAAAGGAATGACTTGTAAGCGAGAATGAAGGAGTCTTCTTCAATGTCTTGCCGGAAGGCAAGCTGTGACTTTAGAAAAGCAGCATGATATTAACAGGAATGATACACAATATACATAAAAAATTTCTCTTAAATGCCCAAAGTGAGTGACTTACTAGCAGACATTTCTATATTTTTCATGATTTATAGTCATAGAAGTACAGTGATTTCCAAAATTTTCTGGAATATTGATTAAACCATCACTGCTCCCTATCAGCAGTCTTCCTTCAGCCTCAGACTTTTTTAATATATGGAAGTAGACTGTAAGTTACAAGAACCTGGTATGACACTATTAGGCTAGATCCTTAAACAGACTGTAATTTTTTAAGTGTAAAAATACTGAAAACATTTAAATTTAACATAATTTTGCAAAAAATATTTTAATGATCTCTCAATAATATACTCTTTAATTACTACTAAATTTAAAAATAGGGTATTTTATAAGATAGAGCTTTATTTTTGTTTTAGCAATAGTGTACATTTCAGTCACTGAACACTCCATAGCCCACTGTACTCGGTAACATTACCTGAGTTGATGGACTTTGTAAAGTCTGTTGTTGTATCATGTGCTGAGTTGTGCCAATATGTCCAGTATTCATTCCACTTTGAACTTGGTTAGTGGGAACAACCTGGCCTTGCATATTTATAGGTGCAAGTTGCTGGATATTAGAGGAATTCCCAGAAGAAAGTTGAACAGAACCAAAATTCAATCCAGGGTTTGATTGTTGCAAAAACATCTTTAAAAATAAAGATTACACTAAAATGAGCCTTGCAGATTAAAAACAAAGAATGAGAGCATTAAAAAGAAAGAAAGAAATCAAGCTGTAAAGTTTTCAAAGCAAGTAACAAGACTCGGTCATTCTGAATGAAAAACAAGCAATAAATTCAATCTTCCATGGACACTGCTCTGACCTCAGCACTATACAAAATATACATGTAATGCAATTCAACTAATATCCCCTAATTCTATTAACATTTTTAAAAAGGAGAAAAAAATTCAATCTTTCAGTCAAACTAACCTTACACTTCCAATGTTAGAAAAACTCAGTACTACTCAAAAGTCTGTGGACTGGCAGCTCTGTATCACCTATCATTTATAACTTGTAACACTAGACAGAAGTAGTTTTCACTCAGTTTCCTTTTATCAAAGTCCTAGTCTCCTGGAGTGTTGGTCAAATAAGACTAATTTGAATCATAGCTTCTGGTACCTTATTAAAACTTTTACTGGATTGCTTTATAAATTCTGCACCTAAATGTTTATGTAAACTGCAATTTTTATATTATGGATTTAAACTTACTAAAATTTACACTGGTAGATAATGATTTCATTAATCTGGAGAAACGAGCATGTTAATGAAAATTCCCTTAGGAAGGAACTATCTCTAGAGACTGTAAGTAGAATCCTATTGAGTAGGTAACCAGTCGGTATTTATCGAACTGAGTTGATGAAATGTATCTCCTACGTCTCACTTTTAATTAAGAAAAGTCAATTTTCCTAGAAATCCAAAATGTGAATGGAATGCTTGGTTTGTATTCAAATATAACAATAATTTACCTGCAGCCCTTGACCATGGACCATTTGAAGTTGTTCTTGAATTTTTCTTAGTTCTTCCTGCTGCCGATGAATGTTTGCCTCTATCATCCGTGTCCGTTGCTCCAACTGGTCTTTCAGATGCTGCATGGCTCCTAATTGAGCTGAAAACTGAAACTAAAGTATCACATATAGGAAAAGTATAACATATTTTAGAATTACTTACTTCTTATAATTTTGCAACGTGAAAAGTGAGCAGTATATCATGAGTTAAAAATGTTATGCCAATAATGTCCCTCAGCTCCTAATCTACCCATGTTTGCTCTCCTTTGTGATATTGGAGCTGGACCTTAAAAAAAATATTTCTCCTTGGCCAGCAGGTGTAAAGTTAGCCATGTCATTAGATGGTGCTGCAACGACACTGCAAAGGAAGGGGTCCATCTCCTAGTCTGGTGCTTTTCCTTCTTGCTCTTATGTCAGAGGTGCCAGTGTTCAGCTTCCCAGCGAGTTTTGCCAGTACTCCAGCAGATGGCTTCCTGATCTCTAAGCCCTTGTTTGCGGCACCTTACTGCACTTCTCATCCACTGGCTACAGACACACCTGCTCTAATAAGATCTGAATCTCAGCCTGGCATGGGGGAAGAAGAGGTTTGGAAGTTGTGCGGAAGTTTCCCAAGTATGTTCCTTTCTTGAGTACTATCCTTCTGACTTAAAATTACTGGCTGCTGTCTACACCTGCTATTCCTTTATTCTTTAAATTCTCTTTACTTCTTTTAGGAGATAATTCCTGTTGCCAGTTAATTTTTTATGTTATTCCTGTTCAAATTTCTGCTATGCTTCTGAATCTTGACTGATTACACCCTGGCATTAAAAGATCTGAGCTCGTATTGTGGCTACCATTTACTATAACAAATTATTTAACTTCTTGCTTTATTTCCACCCTGTAACAATTGAAAAAGCAGCCTGCACCTGGAGTTAATTTATATCAAGTTCTCTCATCCCTAGAATGTCCCATATGTACACCTCAGTAAAATTAATCAAAGTTACAAAAATCTGACAGATAACCAACGATAATATTTCACTCATATTTTTAACTGAAACTATCATCAGACAAGTATAAAACGTAGGTTTTTAAAGACTAAGCAATTATGAATGAAAGAATGAATAAAAACATAGTTATTCTACTTCCTGTGTTTTACCTGAGTCAGTAAGCAGCTGATACTTTCTACTGCTTGTAACTTAGCCACATTTGGTGATTCATCTCTTAAGTCTATACTGATTCATTTAAATATGTCCATGAATATTCAGTATATGAAACAGTTTAACAGCTGAGTTTCATTAAATTGGAAATCTGTCTTAAAATAGTCTCTTACAGTGAACTGCACCTAAAAGTGAGAAATGATCCCCCTACCTGAAAGCTGTATTAAGGATAATGAATATTACATTTCAAACCATACAACTCTGACTTCTGAAGTTGATGATAACTAGACCACATCATATATTGGACTAGGTTTGAGAAAGTATTACAAATTTAGTACCTCAACTCCCTCAGGCCTTTATATTTTTATATTAGTCAAAATATGTTATATTTATGTCATACAAATATATTTTATTGTAACTAAAGTTATTTGTACCACTGTCACCATTTAAAGGATTTCTATTAAGTACAAATAAGAAAATAGTAACTAATATAGAAGACAAGATAACAGGAAATAAAACCACAGAACTAAGAGGGAAAGCATTTGGCTTTATTAGTGAACAAAATGTGAGATTTTAATGCTTACTAATATTTTTGACACAGTACATACCATTTATCTCCTGAAAATATCCCTATAAAATGTTAAGAAATACTTATTCAGTATCCTGAGATTAAAGATTAATATTGAAAGTATGCCTAAATATTTACATAAAAATTCTGTTAAAACTTCAAAATAAGTAATATTTGCAAACTTGATACTGATTAAAAACTATGCCAACTAAATATAAAAACAATACAGTGATGTTATAAAGACCTTACATGATAGTATGCTGTGAGAAATCAAGATTATGAAATTTAGGTAAGTGCTAGGATTACAGGCGTGAGCCACCGCACCTGGCCCTCAGTAGTATTTTTAATGTGTTTGAGGCACTGAATGAGTAAAGAATCAAATTACGAGTTTGGAAGTTATGATTCAAAGTAACAAAGAATCACTTTTGGAATCAGTGTCCTTGGTCTTGCTAAATTTCTACATTTAGCCCTCCTTTAGGCTTCAGGCAAGGCAACAACTCCCCTAGAGAATTTTCCTTCACTTCGTTAGGTTGCATTAAGGGTCCATGCAATGTACTCACATATCAGCCTATATACCTTGAGCACAGACAATATAACATGGCATTGTAGGTATCTGTCATTCCCTCTAGATATAATGGTCTTTTATTATATATATATATGTAATATATATATTATATATTTGTACTGTCAGCATCTGTAATATTTGCTACACAAAAGGAACTCAGTATATCCTATATATGAATGAATGAATATATGAATAAAGTTACTAAATTCTTCCAATATCCATAGGAAGAACAAAACAAATAGCTCTATTTCATCTTTAATATCTTCATGTCTACAGTGTCTCAATGAGGGGTGTTACTGAATATTAAGCAGGATAATTCTTTGTTGTGTAAGACTGTCACACATCCTGAAAGGTATTCAGCATCCCTGGCCCCTGCCCACTAGGGGCCAGTGGTAAGCCATGATCATTACGACAATCAAAAATGTCCCCAGATACTCTAAACGCCCCCAGTTAAGATTGACTGCATCTACAATTACATATTTTTAAAATTATATTAGCTTAAAGGCAACTTGTCATTTTTAAATATTCAACTCAACTCAAACAAACAAACAAAAAATACCTGGGACATGCCTTGTGGAATTGGTAAATTTGCAGCTTGAGACATCACTGGCTGTGTTAATGATGAACCAACAGACTGGGAATTTATGGACTAGAGCAAAAAAACATAATGCTGAAGCGATGCTCATTCCCATACATAAGTACTTTCACCAGAAATATCAACATGATATGTTTATCACTGAACTTAACAATCACTTCTTACCTTTATTTGTTTCCCCCTCTATATTGGAAAGGGCTGTTCCTTATTTATCTATAATCTTTCAAGGAACGTGTTACAGTACCTAGCACAAGCTCTCAATAAAAGTTGGCTGAACTTAAGTGAAGTAAATTGGTATTTGAACTTAGATACAAAACAGTTTTCAATTAACTTTTCACAATTAAAAAAAAAAAAACCATCATTTTACCTGAAAAATCATTAAAAGGACTGATATGTATTATATAAAAACCACTTCACAAAAAAAGAGAAAGATCTTGAATAAATGTCATATAATAATAACTAAATGTCATATAAGAGTAGCTATTTTGATCTCTATAGAGAGGGGTAATGAATCAATAAATTTCTGAAGATTAGGTAATTTTTTTCCCTTTTAATAAATCTTTATGTAGAAGAATATTCACTAACGAGCTTACCTGACTACTAAATGACGATCTCCTCTGTGCCATCTTTTGATGCGCTGGCAAATGCTGTCTGGGAGGAGTGCTAGTATCCGTTGGGATCTTTGTTGGTGTTGCTGAAGTTAGTCACCCAAAACAGAATAGCATTAGTACTTTATAAAATATAGTTTTCAGAGATGAATCTCAAAATGCATTTCAGTGAATAAAAATGGTTTTGAGTTATTTTTCTAAATCATTCCATAAAAGTGAAGTCCATGATGATAAGATCATTCATTATAATTACTTCTAACATTTTTTAAGGACAAAGAAAATATCTCACATAGGAAAACTTAAAATGTAAAGAGTTAATGATTTAATGACAATTATGTAAGTCTTCATATAGAGACACTAAAAAAACTTTCAAAAAGCAAACTTACTGGCGCTACAATAAAAAAAGAACAAACAGTTTGTTTTCTTTTGGAGCGATGATTAAAAACAATAATACCAACATTACTACCTACATATTTTGCAGGCTTCTTGATGAACTTAGTTCTTTCTTAAAGATGAACAACATGCCTCTTACTCACTGGAAAGGTTAATGTATTTCAGAAATGTAAAAACTTATAATTTTAAAGCAGCATTTGATGAAAAATGCCAATACCAGTAACAAACAATTCAGAAGCATTGTTTTAAAGGAAGTCTGCTTTTCAAGCTAGTGTACTCACAGGAAGGGTCTGAGACTGCCGTGTGAGATGACTTTCTCGAACTCCGAGAGGAGGCAGAAGGGGTTGGGCTGTGATCAAACCTTTCTAATGCTTCCTTGAGACTGACTGTGTTTATACGATTATCAGACCCTGAATCTTGGCTCTGCAGAGACAGAGTAAAATAAATGTTTTCTTGTGATTAGTTCAGAAATCTCAAATTAGCAATACTAGCTAACCAAAAAAAAAAAAAAAATCACTTTTTATCCATAACAAGGCAAAAGTACCTATGCATATATTAGGTAAAAAAATGAAAATTTATTTTTTATAGCCAGAATGTTTTGGCTTATTCTCTATTTAAAGAAACAGAAAAAGAATGAAGTTGGAATCTACCCTACACCATATACAAAAATTAACTCAAAATGAATCAAAGACATGGCCAGGTGTGGTAACTTACACCTGTAATCCTATCACACTGGGAGGCCAAGGAGGGAGGATTGCTTGAGCTCAGGAGTTCAAGACCAGCCTGAGCAAGAGCAAGACTCCCTCTCTACAAAAAAAGAAAAAATTAGCTGGGTTTGATGGCACACACTGGTAGTCCCTGGTACTTGTGAGGCTGAGGCAGGAGGATCACTTGAGTCCAGGAGTTTGAAGTTGCAGTGAGCTCTGATGATGCCACTGCGCTTTGTCCAGGGCAACAGAGACTCTTGCCTCCAAACAAAAGAATCAAAGACTAGGCCGGGCGCGGTGGCTCACGCCTGTAATCCTAGCTCTCTGGGAGGCGAGGCGGTGGATGCTCGAGGTCAGGAGTTCAAAAGCCTGAGCAAGAGCGAGACCCGTCTCTACTATAAATAGAAAGAAACTAATTGGCCAACTAATATATATAGAAAAATAGCCGGGCATGGTGGCTCAGCCTTGTAGTCCAGCTACTTGGGAGGCTGAGACAGAAGGATCCCTTGAGCCCAGGAGATTGAGGTTGCTGTGAGCTAGGCTGACGCCATGGCACTCACTCTAGCCTAGGCAACAAAGCGAAACTCTGTCTCAAAAAAAAAAAAAAAAAAAAAAAAAAGAATCAAAGACCTAAACATTAAGAGCTAAAACTATAAAACTCTTAGAAGACAACCTAGGAGAGAAAGTCAGGCTGGGTGGTGCATACCCACAGTCTCAGCATCCCAGCTACACAGAAAGCTTGAGCCCAGGAGTTCAAGTACAGGCTGGGCAACACAGTAAGACCCCCACCTCTAAAATAAAATAAAATTTAAAAAAAGAAAAGAAAATATATAGGGAAAACGTTTCATGGCACTAGATTTGCCAATAAACTAGACTTCATCAAAATTAAAGACTTTGGCCAGGCGCAGTAGCTCACACCTGTAATTCTAGCATTTTTGGGAGGCCAAGGCAGGAGGATCACTTGAGACCAAGAGTTTGAGACCAGCCTGGGCAACACAATAATACTTGGTTTCTACAAAAAATAAAAAAAAAAAATTTAGCCAACCATGGCAGCACACGCCTATAGTCCTAGCTACTTGAAGGCTGAAACAGGAGGACTGCTTGAGCCCAAGAGTTCAAGGCTGCAGTGAGCTATGACTGGGCCACTGCACTCTAGTCTAGGTGAGAGAGTGAGATCCTGCTCAGGCTGGTCTTGAACTCCTAGCCTCAAGCAATCCTCTGCCTTGGCCTCCCAAAGTGCTAGGATCAGTGGTATAAACTACCATGCCTGGCCCAGTTTCAGTATTTTCAAAAGTGGGGGGTATTACTTACCAGATAAGGGTATCTAAAGAGTAAATCACATTTCATAATTCATTTAAAGAACCCAGCCAGTAACTAAGTACACTGCTGGCAATTAATAAATGGTTGTTTTAATCTGGGATCAGATATGTCTCTAACCCTCTTATTACTAAATGGCAGGACCTTCAAAAATTTTTTTAGAAACATATGACATTTTTTCAAATATGAAATTAAAAATAGTAAAATATAATCACATCCCTGACATAAGTGAGGAAATGAAATATTTGAAAAATCATTTTCTTATTAATATGGAGTCTTATCTTTCACTGGGAAGAAATTAAATAATTTTAAGAAAACTTTTATAAACATACTTTGTCAGCAGCTGTCTCAGGAAGAGACTCTTCAATGCCAAGTTCTCGTCGTCTTTCAGCCCTAACTTCTGCATAACTACAAACAGAAAAAAAAAAACCAAATTTTAGTGTTTGGTCATTCATTTAAAATACTGCATGGCTGCTATCATTCAGTGTTTGTTATGTGTCTCACTTATTCATCACTAATTTTAGACTATTTTTGTTGTGCTATATAAACAGTTATAGTATACTGTCTTAATTCAATTTGCATTTTTCTAGGTATCTTAGTTTTATATACTACTGTAAATGATCCATAACTATAGAGAAATTAAGAGGAACTTAAAAAAGGAAGAGCATGCTTATCTACCTACAGTTTCCTTTTACATGATTGACTGTGGTACATAAATTACAGTTACAACTTCTGCTGGAAAGCACAACATTTATGTCAAACATTATATATCTATATCATACCTATACTATTATTTCTATATAATGTCTGTTAAGTAAATATAATAATACATTGAAAGGATATATTAAAAATCAGTAAAAGATCACTTTGTAGTTCATTAACAAGTCATGCATAAAAATTACATTGCCAAAATCATCATACAATGTTACCATAACTCAGAAATTCTTTAAAAGAATTATTACCTTACTACAGTGTGAGTACAAACAATAAACTCTGGCCTTGAATTCCACTGATGATAAGTGATATAATAATGAGTTTGAAGCCAAATCCACTGTTGCCCTTTAGTCAGGAACCTGTAATAACATGATTTGCCTTTCCCATATTGCATTACTAAAATGAAAAGAGAAAAGTATTTTTTTTTTAATCTATATCATTAGTCATGAAGAATCTGTATTTTAACAAACAGCTACCATTTACATTTAACTCTACATAAACAATTCTTTTTCTGGCTTTTCAACATGTATCAATAAGGAAATGCTATTCTTTAGTGCTAGTTTAAGGTCCCAAGCAATCTTCTACAGTGCCCAACTTACAGCCAGTCATTGCTGATCTTTTATACTTTTCAAATACAATAAATTTTCAAATACTCAAGAATTAACACTGTTAACTTCCTCATGGCTTGATGTAATGAGGGTAACAATAATAAGTAACCAAACCTGAATTCCCCCCGCCCCCAGATTCTCTGTCAGGTACAGCATCTTTGAGGCATTTAATTTTAAACCTTAACTAACCCAAATCAGCATACCTTCACCATTTAAAATAATTGTTAAGCACAGTAGTTCCCAAAACACATGATACAGATTTTAAGTTCTGAAGCCTTTTAACAGATTTTTAAGTAAAAAATGGGTTTTGTGGTTAATCTGGGAACCTTTTTGTTAAATAGGTGTCTAGTCTTCTCACAGCCTTGAGTATGCTAATGTATGCGAAGATTCTTTGAGAGATTATGAAGTGTTTCCTAGTCTTCCTTAAGTATAAAGTCCTTGTTTAAAGGGCTGGCATTCAGCAGAACAAACTTTAGGAAATGCTGATGGGCAATCTCTCTCTCTCTCTCTCTCTCTCTCTCTCTCTCTCTCTCTCAATGAGGAAACCAAGGCTTAAAAACATTAACTCACTGTCCAAAGTTAGCCACCTTGTTAAATAGAAGTGCAAGTCTTTTCATGACACCATGGTACTTAATGCCCACACCACTTAATAGTGAAAATATTTTCTTTTGTGCTGAAATGACTTTACTCTGAAATTGTTCCATATAGTTGATTATAGTTGATTATACAACATGGTTTATTTTCATATAGAGAAGTTTATTAGAGCAGTAAAAGATATCATGACAGTGTCTTAAATAACTAATTAGGCTTTAGAGAACACTTAAGAGGGTAGGATTTGAGGGAAGGATCAGAGAACCAAATAAAACCTATCATTAAAATAAACCTCTAAAACAAAGAATGAATACATGTTGTAAAAGGGTAGGCCTACACTGCATTCCTGTGGCTGCCACCAACAAGCCATGGGACTGTGGATGAATTACTTGGCTTTACTGTGTGTCTCAGTCTACTCAAGAAAGATAATAATGCTGAATAATGGAAATAACATATGTGAAGTGTTTAGAATAGTGCCTGGCACAATGAAATGATGACACTCTGCTGCTGACAACTATAACAAACAGGAGGTAACAGAGAACACGTACTATGAGCTTTCTAAGACAGATTTTCCAAATGTGTACCAAGCTCCTGGAAAGACTTACCATGCCTGGAAATCAAAATTTATGAACTACTACTCTAAAAGTTTGATATACTATTATAATTTTCAAAGGAATCTACTCTTACTCTAAATTCAGAGCTTATGCATTTCAGAACAAGGTATATTAGTAGATGCCATATTATAAAACTGTACTTAATATTATAAATTGAAATATGTAAAATGGGAATATGTTTAATTTAAACTTGATCTATGATCACTACCAGATTGGTTATACCCATAATGTAAAATTTTCCAACACCTAATAAAAAAGTAAATCTGTATTTTATGATTTTCCATTAATAGGACATGACAGTTGTTATCACCAGAAATATTAAAATCTACTTACAGTGTTCATGACATTTTGCCAAATTTTCTAGGTCATCCACATGATAGTAATCATAGCCTGATGTTCCCAGAACTTCAAATGGCAAATATCCTATTATGGGTGGTGCCCTACATTACACATAAAACAATCAGTATTATAAGGTTTTCCATAATAACAAATACTCCAACTAGAAATCAAATTTGAGGGGCTTTATTTTTAGAAAAATGGATAACAGGTTTCAAAGCCTTCATCAAAAAGAAAGTTTGTCCTTGAAATCCATTAATTTCAAAATTTATATGACAATTACCTTTTTATGGAATTTAAAAATTGAGTTACCTGTGATCTAGAAACAGAAACTTCCATTCTAAACTATGTCTAGATGTAAACTCTTCGTTGGGCTCTTCAACAGTGCACATTTCCTACAAATAAATTAACAGTTAAAATACTCTTCTGTGTTCTTAGAATACTAAATATTACTAGACATATAAGTCACTGTTGGATAACTTTTCCCTAAACAATTTTTTTTTTCTTTTTTTTTTTGAGACAGAGTCTCACTTTATTGCCCAGGCTAGAGTGAGTGCCGTGGCGTCAGTCTAGCTCACAGCAACCTCAGACTCCTGGCTCAAGCAATCCTCCTGCCTCAGCCTCCCAAGTAGCTGGGACTACAGGCATTCGCCACCATGCCTGGCTAATTTTTTTTTTGTATATATATATTAGTTGGCCAATTAATTTCTTTCTATTTATAGTAGAGACGGGGTCTCGCTCTTGCTCAGGCTGGTTTCAAACTCCTGACCTTGAGCAATCCGCCCGCCTCGGCCTCCCAGAGAGCTAGGATTACAGGCGTGAGCCACCTCGCCCGGCCAACAATTTTTTTTTTTATTTCAGCATATTATGGAGATACAAATGTTAAGGTTATATATATTGCCCATGCCCCACCCCTTGAGTCAGAGCTTCAACTGTGACCATCCCCCAAATGTTGCACATCTTACTCATTATGTTTGTATATACCCATCCCCTCTGCCCTCCTCCCACCTGCCCAACATCCAATAAATGTTATTCCTATATGTCCACTTAGGGGTTAATCCCTTAATACCAATTTGTACATGTGGTGCTTGTTTTTTCATTCTTGAGATACTTCACTTAGTAGAATGGGTTCCAGCTCTACTCAGGAAAATACAAGAGGTGCTATATCACCATTGTTTCTTAAAGCTGAATAGTACTCATGGTATACATACCACATTTTATTAATCCACTCATGTATTGATGGGCGCTTGGGTTGTTTCCACAATGTTGCAATTGTGAACTGTGCTGCTATAAACATTTGAGGGCAGGTATATTTTTCATAAAGTGACTTGTGATCTTTTGGGTAGATGCCCAGTAGTGGGATTGCTGGATCAAATGGTAGATCTACTTGTATTGCTTTAAGGTATCCCCATATTGCTTTCCACAGAGGTTGAACTAGTGTGCAGTCCCGCCAGCAGTGTAGGAGTGTTCTTCTCTCTCCACATCCACGCCAACAAACAAATTTTTAACACATTTTAATTTTCTAGTACTAAAAAATGTGGTAATAAATAACCTTTAGATGCAGGCTTCTGGGTGAGTACTTCTCACTCTACACATTTTCCATTCACTCACACGTCTATAAACCCTAATTCTGAATTCAGGCCTCTCTTCCAAATTATATTTCCATATTTCTAACTGTCTGGATATCCCCACACATCTCAAACTCAGCATGTCCTAAAAACCGAACTCATTGCCTTACTACTCCTCATACCCAGTTACACAATTTCCCATTCATTGATGGACATATTACATGTGTAGTCTAGAAATCCAACAGTCACAACTGACTCCTTTGTATTTACCTTTTACCGTCTCAGTGGTCACTACTAAATCCTTTCAATTTCACCTACTAAGTATTTAAAAAATCTATTCCATCCCACCCATTTTCAGTCCCTTAGTTTGGACCTTGCCATCACTGATTCCCATTATTGCTACAGTGTTCACCAGTCTTCCTGTCCTTTAACTCATCTTCTCTTCTGGGGCCACAATCACCTGACCAACACTCAAATATGATTACATAACCTCCCTGCATAAAAACCTTCAATGGTTCCTCATGCCAAAATCTCTGCAGCACGGAGAAATAAACCACAAAGAAAGAAACCAATTTCACTTTTGGCCACTGCTTACTTTTCTAACCTGACTTTTCACTCTCCCTACCCTTCCACTCTAGTCATACCAAATTGACCACAAGTATCACAATGTAATATTTGAGAGCTTGGGCTTTGAGGGGAAAAGAATTAGAATCAAGTCCCAGTTCTATCACTAACAGCCGAAACTTTGGGCAAGTAACTTAACTTCCCTAACTCTCAATTTCCTTATAATATAAAATGGGCATCACAATAGCATCTATCTCATTGGGCTGTTATAAAAATTAAATGAGATAATGCATATAAAATAAACAGCACATAGTAAGCACTCAAATGTGAGCCAATGCTATTAATTCCTAAGCTCAAAACAAGCAGAGTAAGACTGGTTTAAGATCTTTTAACCACTAATTCAATATTTCGTCCTGTACTAGGGGATCTTCTTAAATTTTATATTTTAGCCTACCTTCTTTCTAGCCCCTTTTCTATTTCACTTCCCACTTCCCTACTAATCTTATCTGCTTTTTGGGCCCAGAAAATAAATTATTTAATTAAATTAAAATAGGGAAGATAAATTATATGCACTAAAAAGCCACTTGGACATTTCAACAAAAATTTCAAAAGCAATCTTTTAGAAATTACCTAGATTTTTGGACATTCCCCTTTAACGAAGATAGGGATCATAAGCAAAAGCATCTTAAAATTTTGCACAAAAGTAGGGTGACAGTGATATATAACCACTGGTTAAATGCAAAGGATATATACTAAAAATTAGTTATATAATTTAATGAGTGTCTTGAAACTCATTCTTTTCAAAAATACTATGATCACACATATTTCATGGCCCACAGCTATTATTACTTCAATGTTCGCAGAAAGTTTCAGTCATTCTGAAGACAACAAAAAAATTACATAAAGACAGTTCCCATAATATGAACTGAAATCCCCTGAAATAAAATTAGAAACATACCTTGATGAACTGAGGTGTAGCTAACCTGACAGTAGCTACAAAACAAATTCTATCTTCATAAGAAGGCCTATGTGTGCGCTGTATAGTTCCTTCAAAACCATTGTGTGCTGAACTGGATACTAAAATAAGGAGGAAATAGGCATCATCAGTTACTCCAGTAAAACCTAGCTGTTACTGATATGCAAATATCTATGTCTTTAAGAGCTTAGAAAAATACTAAGTTAAAACCCTTTGTAAGAGAAGCATTTTAACTCACCACTGTTTAAAGATTTGAAATTTCCTATAAATTTCACATACTCATAGGTAGATGGCTCCTTTGGGTCTATTGTTCCTCGAAGCATATGACAACGGAATTCTAACTGATTTTTTGCTGAAATAAGAGATTAAAAATTTAGGTATTTGTGTTAAATCAAGGTGAATGATCTATTACATGAAATAAGATTATAAAAGTTATATAAGTTTATAACCATTATTTTCTCCAACAGAAATCTCCAATGACATTTTATTTAGTCCACAAAAGTAGAGTGCCTTTAAGAGATGACCTCACTCTGGCCTCAATAGAGAAAACAAATCTTCTGGTACAAGCAACTTAATGTTTCTCCATTTTTTAATCTTTCCTTCCTTCTCATTCTTCACTCTAATTTCAAAGAAAGGTTTTGCTTCCCATTCTAAAGCTAATACTTCTATCTTTACTTTGAACAGTCTTTCCTGTCTTCTTGGGACCTGAGCCACACCACTGTTATTCATTCCTTTAGCATCTACACATTCTCCTTTTTGAGTCCTTACTTACTACTTTTAAATTTGCTCAGGTCTTCCTATCTCAAAGAAAGAGTTGTTCATGCTAATTATTTTAGTATCATAGATCTCCTTCCTTTCATTATGTGCTTTCATTTCTCTTAACTTCATGCACTATGGCTTTCATTCTCACACCTCTGCAGCAATTATTCTTCTAGAGATTACTAATATTTGTAGTGCTAACTTCAATGGCTTTTCCTCATTGCATACCTCTTCTTAAAACTCATGCCATTCCCACAGCATGAATTTTCCTTCCTGCTGACTATTCCTATCTCTTCCGCTAATCTGTCTTCAAACTAGGGGCTTTCATAAAGGTTATTTTGATCTTGATCTTTTGTTATCCTTTATAAACTTACTGGCCTTGGTAAGCTTACTAACATCTAAACCTCTCTCCCCAAATCTAACATTTTATGTAAGACAAAGTCTCATTTCATTATTTGCTTTCAACACATTTGCACTTGATTTTCCCATCAGTAACTTAAACCAAAAATATTTGAAGGTGAATTCAATCCTCTTTCTTCCTAAGTCAGCTGTCCACCTTTGTCCCATGTATGCTTATTTCCTAAGTTACAAACCATATCAACTTGGTCTCTTCGTTTCCTATCACAAGTTTCAAACCTAACCTGTCATCAAAACCTGCTGTTTATTTTACCAAGGAAACTCTCAGTCATTTTTTTTTCCCACTGAGCACTACCACCACTTAGTACAACTGCAAATCACCTTGCATCCAGGTAACTGAAAAATGTGTTCATTATGCCTCCACACTGTTGCCACTGATTCATCTTTGCCTATTACTCTTTGACTTTCATCATATTTCAGCACTCAAGGACGAGTAATATCTTTCTTCACTCACTACATCAAGCGTATTCTCTATAGTCATTATCACGATAGATAGTTTTATCACCTAACTCAATACGTTCAAAATCTATTTTCTTCCCAAACCCTTCCCTACTGATGATCCTTAGGCACTTGAGCCTAACATTAAGTCCTATTGAGTTTCCCTATTTAACATTCGTATACTTTCTTCTCCATCCCTACTTCTATTGCTATTAAAAGAATTATATAGTTTTCCTTTATGTCCCTAGTCTGGTAAATTTTCAAAATTTTCTACCTGGGCTGTATCTCCCAAACCAGAGGATGAAAGTGGTAGCAACTTTTATAAGCAATGTACTGCTAATCTCTCTAGGCCAGAGATGCTGGTGGGAGATGCTTCCATTGGACCTCCATGGAGGCGGGACATGTGTCACTGGAAAAGTAGGACAGTTAGCTATACCAGGCAGCAGGACCAGCTTGGTCATCGGAATAGTCTGACCCACAAGATCTCTGTTTGTACTTAACTGATCCCTAGGAACAAAACTGATGAGTAACTACACGAAGGTATCACTTCAACTGTGTAGTAGGAAATCTCCAGATCTGGTGAGCAGGGTGTGACTTAAGCCACCATGACAGAGAAATCAAGGGCCCTCGCTTAAGTCTCAGCCTCAGGGCCTCTTGCTGAAGCAGAAGCCAGGTAAGCTTGGGGGGGTGTATCTTACTATTGCAAGTCTTCTACCTAGCATTCTTCAAAGAAACTCTCCACTATTTACCTGAGTGATTTTTTTTTTAAGACCATAAAACCATCCAATTCTCCTTCACTTGCTTGCTACTGTGTAACAAATAAAAATCAAATTCCTGAGGATGAAATACGAGGCACTTCATAATTCTGTCCTTACTTCCTTCCCGAGGCACAAATCATACCCACCTGTACCACCCTCACTTTCATTATGGCCAAAGTGACCTGCTGAATTTTCTAAGCAATTTCCTCATATTTTAACTCACACTTATTTCATTGGCATGAAATGCTTTTTTTCTGGGAAAAGAACTTTCTTTGTATATCACTTGTTTAAGTAGGGGATCAGCAAGCCATCTGATTAAGACTTTTCTCTATCAAAAAGTATTGCTGCCATTCTGATCTCTATTCTTAGAAGCAGGGGCCTAAGGTATTTCTTTCTGCCAAAGGTTTTTATTCAGTTTTCCAGCCAATTCTGCCCTTATTAGGGTCTCTAAAGCAGACTCTTCCTTTGTCTTCCTACTGCTATCTCCCAAGCTCCACGTTTCTAATGCTTCTCTTATTGTTCGAGATATTTACCTCAAGCAATGTCATTCAATCCATGACTTCAAATACTATTTATAGGCATCTATTATATCCAGCCCAAATCTTTCTCCTAAGTACCAGACTAGAGTGGCCTAATGGTCAATGTCATACAAACTTGATTTTGTATGACAATTATAACAGGCTTCAAATGATCCCCCAGTCTCTAGTTTTTCTCAACTCCCTCTGAAAGGCTATCTATTCTTATCAAAGATATATATATATACATACACACACACACACTCTTACACATATAGGTGTGTGCATATGCACATGTATGCATATATGTGAATCTCAAGTCTTAAGACAGTATGCTATAGAATTTGATGGTTCAAACACAAAGAACCTTAAGATGATTAATGTCAGTATTACCAGTTTAAGACAAAATAATGAAAAAGTGATAAAAGGTAGTTCATGGCCGAATACAATTTTGGATTTTAAACAAGGTAACATAGTAGAGAAAATGAGGTGCTCTGGTCAAATTAATTTGTCCAATGAACCTAGTAAGTGACCATGAGTGGTGGCTCACACCTGTAACCCCAGCACTTCTGGAGGCTGAGGCAGAAGGATCGCTTGAGCCCAGGAGTTCGAGGCTGTGGTAAGCTACGATCATACCACCAACTGCACTGTAGCCTGGGTAACAGAGGCAACAGAGGAAGACCCTGTCTCTTTAAAAAAAAAAAAAAAAAAACAAACCCTAGCAGAAATAACTAATTATGTTTCTTGACAGCAGAGACTATTTTTCAATATTCGTGGCACTTTTAAGACATAGCACACGTGCCTGGCAAAATAGATACATTCAAAAATGATTGTTTAATTCTGTTTAATTAATAAAGTAGATAATTTATCTTTATATTTAATAATTTTAAAATAAACACATTTTTTTCACAGTTTGAGTGTCCAACTGGTAAACGATGGTCAAAATTAGAAGGTTTAATTTTCTTTCACTAAATATAAAATTTTATTTAAAAATCAATGAGAGTATATTATCAGGTTCTACTTTCATATAAAATACAGTTTTATGGTATAACAAACAGATGGGATTTTGATATGATCTGGAATAGAGTCAGACTTTTAATATAACATTTCCATTTTATATATTTTTTAGTATTTATGAAGGACCTAACAGGGTAGATGGAACAATGCTACACATTAATTTAGTTAAACATGTCTGTGTTTTTCACCAACTTGCAAAAGTAAAGAATGCTGCTGCCAAATATAACAGGTGACTTTTCTGCTTAACAGCTATTACTTACATTTTAAATACTCAGGGGTTAATGAATCACTTTCCAGCAGATGAGTAGAGAGTATTTTATAAACCTCTGAATGTTCCCCTTCTGGGATAAAATTAAATATACTTTGATCCACAAGATCAGACTGAAAAAGAAATTTTTAAAAGCAAAATAATTTTAATGATTCAAGAGACAATTAGTTTCAAAGTATATAATCATTATTAAACAACAGAAGAGCATATGTTTAACTTTCAATTATCTATGAAATCCAACACATGGCAAGTTACAGACCACATCTCAAAACACAAGACTGAGAAGCTGGAACGTTAACATTACCTCTGATACTAGTGTCACTAGATCCCTGATCAATATGACCTTGACAGCTTGATAATTCAAAGCCCTGTTTTACCAAATTTGAACATTTTAAAATACAATGGGACTAAGAGAGTTAATTAGAAAAATCTTTGGCTACAAGACACAGTCTTGCCATATATTCAAACGTGTGGTAACCGATGGCAGTTCTCGCTACTACAAAGGACTAGAACAGGCTACGTGAGGAGGAAATCTGACTTTGGTGTCCTTTCAATTGTCCAATGTGCCCCTTCTTTTTTTTAATTTAACTTTTTTTGTCCTTTCCTTTTTTTTTTTTTTACTACAGTCAAAAACAGGGAATGTCCTTTTCTTTTTTATTTCATCTTTTCCAGGCACCTATCTTGTATCCCATTGTTAAAAAGCCTTGCTTTTGGCTATCCCCCCTCAAAAAAGGGCAACTGACATGCTAAGCATTATAATTCTTGCTAACATATGACTGTAATCATGACTCATTAATCGTGATTCATTAATCGTTAATCAATAGTAATCTGACAAACATCAGGTTGCCTACAATGTGTCATGGCTGCGGAACTGCAAATGAGTAAGATAGCTCCTATTCTTATGTACCACTGACAAGAAAACTTCCATGACTTCACAGGTGCTATGAAATCCAGTCCATTCTATCTGGTTTCTCTGTATTTTGAAACTGCTTTGTGGAATCCTGAGGACACTGAGGTGGTATTCTCCAGGAATGTGGAGGTGGGACGGCCCGCCAGGAAGAGGAAAGGGGCTGGGGGCAGGGCTCAGGGTCCTTCCTGCTCCTGCATTCAACCAGAGCAGTTTTTTTCTGTTTATATTTTACATGTCCGTAAAGATTTTGTTGGAAGAGCTCCATTGCTTAATAACAAAGGGAGCCACTGAGGATGGTGAGAGAGGAGAAAAGGGTGTTTTCTATTCTCCCGATGAGCCATACACCCCCATCCTTTCTTCTGCCTTGTCTCTAGCCCTCCCAGCCCACCCCCCGGAAGGGGGATGGCCTTCTCCCTCTCCCCACATACTCCTATCCTCCATCTTTCAAAGACTACTGCAAATTATTTCCTTCAAAAAAGCATTTTAGGAAAATAAAAAAAAGAACAAAAAAAATTTCCTTAAAACCATAATCTACATTAAAAATAAAGCTCCTTTAGTATTTACTACTCGTATCATTCATTTCTGTTAGTCGTAAGTCAGCCTTCTGAAGCCGTGCGTTCTGCGCCTCCATGCATTCAACGAACCACGGATCAAAAGTATTTGGTAAAAAACGGATAATCGTCTGTACTGAACATGTACAGATTTTCTTGTCATTATTCCCTAGACAATAGAGTATTATGACTATATGCAGCACTTATACTGAATATTAATGTAACTAATCTAGACATGATTTAAAGTATATAAAAGGTGTGTAGGTTACATGTAAATACTACACCATTTCATAAAAGTGACTTCGACATTTAGGGACTTTGGTATCTACAGGGGTGGGGGGAGCCTGGAAGCAATCCCCCCCATGGATACCAAGGGGTGACTCGGTATATTGTAATGTCTATGATCTGTTGTTCCATAGCTGAATAAAAGGCCCTATCTCTTACACCTTCATCCTCCTCCCTTCAAATCAAGGCACATTAACACTGTGCTTTGCATATTACAGTTATTAGTACAGTACATGACTGTGGATGAAGGAATTATCTGATAATGGCTTAAGGGTTAGCCACACCAAAAATATCTGTATTTTAATAAGGGGATTCTTCTGGAAGTCTGAAAAGCCTTTAGAACTGAAGGAATGAATTGAAAAGTCAGGCATGAATAGAAATGCTAGAAAACTGACTTTTATTAATAAAATTAAGTATTAATTTTCATTATGAGAATGATTATCGTTTTCTATTATTTCAGCAAATTACGGTTTGACCTATATTTCACCCTTGTTTTCCATCTATAAATTCATAGGATGTTTCAGATTCACAGGGAAAAGAATATGAATGGTTAGTATTGAGAACAGTATGATCACAAGTATTGCTTCCCCAGTTTCTGCTGCCACTTTGTAATAGGCCTCAAACTTTCCCTTAACCACTATACTTAAAATCCCTCAATGAGACTGATCATACTTGGCCAGGCACAGTGTGGCTCATGTCTGCAAGCCCAGCACTTTGGGGGGCCAAAGTGGGAGGATCACATGAGTCCAGGAGGTAGAGGCTGTAGTGAGCTTTGATGACACTACTGCACTGCACCCCAAGCAACAGAGCAAGATGTTGCCTAAAAAAAAAAAAAAAAAAAAAGTAGCTATCTGGATCCTTTTATCTCCCTCACTCATTTTCATGAAGAAGAAAGTCCTGTTGATGCATTCATATGACATAAATTAATAGCCTTTCTGTTTTTTCTATATTAAGTCAATGTTACCATTTAGTGGAAATTATCAACTAATTATCTTTTCCCTTAGGTAAATTATCTACAGTTAAACAAATGACTCCTACAGACAATGGTTGCTTTAAAAGGGACTAAAAGCTCCTTCAAAAAAATGTCAAATATATTTTGGATATAACATATTTTTAAACAACTATTTTCCTTACTTACAGGCATAAGGGACAAAAATTCTAGCCCTATCAAATAAGCCTTCACTATCATCATATAACTACTCAAAAACTTCTAAATCATATTTCTGCATACTGCATTTTATACTGAAGACTGGACTAGCTTTCTTAAAACCCACTTACGTTTATGTTTTCAAACTACAAAATTAAGAATAGAAAAGGACAGGCACATCCAGTATCTTAACAGTGGCATTTTTAGTCCTGGATTTAGTTAGATTATAATGTGGTTAATCATCTTCCCTCCATCATATGGCTACAAATTTAATACACTCTCTTGAGAAAACATTTAAGCAAGTATGAGGAAATCAACCTGAAGTAGTAAAATGTTACAAATTTTAAGTTTGTAGTAGAGTGAAATGAATAAAATATGTACAACTGATTAGCCACAAATAGATTAAAATGTATCTAAATTAATTTCATTATGAAATCACTTAATATTCAAGCACAAAGTGAAAAAGTTACTTTGGTTTTTTGGCAGGGTTTATAGAACCAATCTTGTAATTTTACAGTCAGATTTAATTTTTTTTTTTTGAGACAGACTCTCAAGTACAGTGGCGTCATGGTAGCTCACTACAACCTCAAATTCCTAGGCTCAAGTGATCCTCTTGCCTCAGCCTCCCAAATAGCTGGGACTATAGGCATGTGCCCCAGCACCTGGCTAATTTTTCTATTTTTTGTAGAGATGAGGTCTCACTCTTGCTTAGGCTGGTCTTGAACTCCTGAGCTTAAGCAATCCTACCGCCTCGGCCTCTCAGAGTGCTAGGATTACATGTGTGAGCCACCGTACCTGGCCAGATTTAAAATTTAAATTAAAAAATTTTAGGTCACTTTGACCAGTGATTAAAATGGCAAGCTTTAATTTCTCAACAGGACTGAATTATAAATGCTAAAGTCTAATTTAGGGATTTGTCAATATTTCCCCTTTTCTGGGCAACAGCCAAAATTCTTTTAGACAAAATAGGTATGCATATTAAAACACAAATAAAGAAACATTATTGTTCTAAACCTTTGTTTAGCACCTGTTAGTTTAATTATTAATGACAACCCAAAACAGAAAATCACATTTTTTATTATTGTATTTGATCCTAACTAAAGATTATTTAGTCTTCTCAAAATAAGCCTGTATTCATGTTTTCAAATCACCAAATATATACAATTCAGCAATGTCAGTGATGTGAAGCAAAGTATCCACAGTAACTAGAGAGCAGAAAAAAACTATTTAACTATTCAGCCATAAAAATAATAATGAAATCCTGTTATTCACGGATGGAACTGGAGGACATTATGTTAAGTGAAATAAATCAGGAACAGAAAGCTAAACACCGCATGTTTTCACTCATATGTGGAAGCTAAAAAAGCTGATCTCACAGAAGTAAAAAGGAGAACAGAGGATATTAGTGACTGAGACGGGTAGGGGGAAGAGGAGAAGAAGGGGAATAGGGAGAGATTTGTGAAAGGATACAAAATTACAGCTAGATAGAAGGAATAAGTTCTAGTGTTCTGTTCTACTGTAGGATGATCACAGTTAACAATAGTATATAGTTTCCAACAGCTAGGAGGATACTGAATGTTTCCTGTGAACCCAAAGTAATGATAAATGTTTGAGATGATAGATATACTAATTACCCTAATCTGATCATGATACATTGTATGTATCACAACATCACCCTATTACTATGTATAATTACATGACAATTAAAAAAATAAAAAATTTTCAAAGCTAGTTTTTAACAAAGTATACTATTAATTCTGAATGGAATGAAACTGGTCTACTTGGATCAGCAGCTATCACTCTTGCTCAAAAATTTACCTGCCAATCTACATTCTTTGGACGACACAAACAATTTTAAAAATCTAGAAGATGTTAATAACAGAGGAAACTGGGAATAGGACATATAGAACTATCTTCATTTTTCTGTAAATCTAAAAATGGTCCTAAAATTAAAAATGTTTACCAAAAATACAGGAGGGAATGGGAAGGTGAGGAGGGTTTTTATTCCAGGGGGAATGTTAATAATTGAATACTTGATTCCAATTAGATCTGTCACATGTTGTCTATCTCAAAATGCAACTAAACCTTCCCTCACCAAAGATCTACCATCAGTGTGCCATTAGGAGGAGATTTTTAAAAACAGCCATATCAAAGTAGTCTACTTATTTTCATACATTCAATAAATAATCACTGAGTACCTCCCTGAGAAACTAGTTAGCTCCTGTAGATACAAAGATGAAGCCCTTAAGAAGCTTACAACTATCATAACTATCCAAATAAATAGAAAATTACAATTTTCTTTAAGTGTCACAATGGTAGCATGTATAAGGTCATAGTAGAACAGAGAGAATCTAATTTTGAATGGAGTTCCAGGAAAGTGCCAAGAAGCAGGCTTTTAAAAAGTGTGAACACATTGCAAATGCTGCTCTGATTATGATTAAAGATTACATAATCTCTGCAAACACTAACTTTTTAAAAATCCCAACATAATTGTATATGGTTTAAAAGCATATAATTATACTTGTTTTCAATTACTTAATCTTTATCTTAATCCTATAAAGGGTTTCTTTCCTTGGCTTTTCTTGCTATGCCAAGAAAATTCAGTTAATCAGTCTGTCTTTTCTCTGGCTATGTTAGTCTACTTACATGTTGCTATAATTTCAGGTTTTACTCTCCAACAATTTTTTAGATGTTGGGTTTATCCTACTATTTGAGCTTACTGGAAAATAAAGCCCCAGGCCGTGTGCAGTAGCTTACACCTGTAATCAGCACTTTGGGAAGCCAAGGCAGGAGGATTGCTTGAGGCCAGTTCAAGACCAGCCAGACCAAGAGCGAAAACCCTGTCTCTACAAAAAAATCAAAAAATTAGCTGGGCTTGGTGGCATGTGCCTATAGTCCAGCCTGTAGCCCTAGCTACTCAGGAGGCTGAGGCAAGAGGATTGCTTGAGCCCAGCAGTTTGAGGGTGCAGTGAGCTATGACGACACCACTGCACTCTAGTTCGGGCAACGGAGAGACTCTGTTCCAAAATCAAAAAAGAAAAAATAAATAAAGCCCCTAGAAAAGCCAGTAAAGTCAAGCTATTTTCTGTGTAAATCAAAAAAATTAGCAAAGTACTTATTGCCTGGCTTTCAGTTAAGGAACTGCCCTTTTAAGTCTGGCCTTTTAAGTATAAAAGTCCATTTTCTTTATCAAGTATGAAGTGTCAAGAGTAATCAGAGGAAGGCAAATAGCGCTTTTCAATGTCTCTTGGAAGAGACATTTACAAAGCAGATTACTTTGCATTGTTAGAGCGACAGATATTTTAAGAGTAATTTATGAATAGCTTTAGAATAATTATACCATGAGCTCCATCTTAGATAAGAAATTATATAGGCCAGGCGCAGTGGCTCACGCCTGTAATCCTAGCACTCTGGGAGGCCAAGGCAGGGGAGGGGGGGTGGATTGCTCGAGGTCAGGAGTTCGAAACCAGCCTGAGCAAAAGCGAGACCCTGTCTCTACCATAAATAGAAAGAAATTAATTGGCCAACTAATATATATAGAAAAAATTAGCTGGGCATGGTGGTGCATGCCTGTAGTCCCAGCTACTCGGGAGGCTGAGGCGGGAGGATCGCCTGAGCCCAGGAGTTTGAGGTTGCTGTGAGCCAGGCTGATGCCACGGCACTCACTCTAGCCCGGGAAACAAAGCAAGACTCTGTCTCAAAAAAAAAATATATATATATATATATATATTAAATAAAACTGCAAATTCCCTCAAAAAACTCATCAACTGCAGCATAGTACCTAGTCTACATTCTGGCAGAGCAGATAGGCAATAAATACATGTTAGTTAAAAAGAAAGCACACAATTCAGGTATTCACCATCCTAATCAAATCATACAATATACTTCTTTTCTAATTTTCTACCCTTTTGATTATATTAATAAGGAATTGAATATGGTCATTATGACATTATCAGTTCAAGTCACATAGCATAAAAGTTCTATGTCTATTTTGTATGTGTGTGTGTGTGTGTGTGTTTTGAAACAGGGTCTCGCTCTGTCTCCCAGGCTGGGGTACAGTGGTGTGATCACAGCTCACTGCAATCTCCAACTCAGTACTCAAGTGATCCTCCTGCCTCGGCCTCCCAAGAAGCTGGGATTATAGAAGTGTGCCACCATGCCTCGCTAATTTTTTTTAAAAAGATTTTTGGTAGACACAGGAGTCTCACCATGTTACTCAGGCTGCTCTTGAAGTTCTGGGCTCAAACCATGCTCCCACCTTGGCCTCCCAAAGTGCTAGGACTACAGGTGTGAACCACCAGCCAGGTCCTTATAAGTCACTCTTTTGAGAAAATGATTTTATGAGTTCCCCTAATTTCAACAAGTATCTCAGTAGAAATTTAGTTATTCTCCAGATATTATCAGTGATTTAACAACATCTTTACCAGGCTGCTTAAAAAGGAAACACAAAAAGTTGAGCATTAGAATAAAGAGGGCAGGAAGAACAAAGGATAAAGTGGTACAGTCATGAACTGCACGGCGGCGTTTCCGTCAGTGATGGACCATGCGTGTGACAGAGGTCCCAAATGATCACAGGGCAGCTTAAAAATTCCTACTGCCTAGCGACACTGTGGCTGTCATTATGTCAGAGCTCAAGGTTTACTCATGGGTTTATGATGATGCTGTTGTAAACAAACCTACTGTCCCCTCCAGTCATGTAAAAGTTTATTAGCAAAACAATTACATACAGCACATAATAAAGGATAATTATACTAAAAAACTGTTACTGGTTTATATATTTATTACATTATACTTTTTTATGATTATTTTAAAGTATACCCCTTCTACTTATATATATTTTTAAAGTTAATTGTAAAACAGCCTCAGGTCCTTCAGGAGATATTCACAAAAGAAGGCATTGTTTTCACAGGAGACGACAGTTCCATGCATGTTACTGCTCCTAAAGACCTTCCAGTGGGACAATATGTGGAGGTAGAAAACAGTGATACTAATGATCCTGACTCTGTGTAGGCCTTTTTGTTTTTAACAAAAAAGGCTAAAAAGCCAAAAAAAAAACCCTCCAAAACTTTTAAAAATAGAAAAAAGCTTATAGAATAAGGATAAAAAGAAAATATTTTTGTGCAGCTGTATACACAATGTGTTTTAAGCTTAAGTGTTATTACAAAAGAATTTAAAAGTTTTTTAAAATTAAAAAGTTTATAAGATAAAAAAGTTACAGTGAGCCAAGGTTAATTTATTATTGAAGAAAAAAATTTTTAGTAAATTTAAGGTAGCCTAAATATACAGTGTTTATAAAGTCTACAGTAGCGTACAGTAACATTGTAGGCCTTCACATTCACTCACCACACACTGACTCACCCAGAGCAACTCCCAGTCCTGCAAGCTCTACTCACGGTGAGTGCCCTAAGCAGGTGCACCATTTGTTTACCTTTTATACTATATTTTTACTGTACCTTTTCTATGTTTAGATACAGAAATACTCACCATTGTGTTACAACTGCCTACAGTACTCAATACAGTAAAATCTTGTACAGGTTTGTAGCCTGGGAGCAACAGGCTGTTATACCACACAGCCTAGGTGTGTACTAGGCTATACCATCTGGGTTTACGTAAGTCAACTCTGTGATATTCACACAGTAACAAAACTGCATAGGAACACATTTCTCAGAACATCTCTGTTGTTAAACAACACGTGACTGTAGCTGAATGTTAAATTATTACAGATTCAACATAGCCATGCTAAAACAAAGACATACTTAGAGCTCTCAGCCCCACCCTTGAACCACTGTTCGACACTGTTCTCAAACTCTACTACCTAGTGCTCTCGAACATTTAAAACAGGCATTTACCAAGAAAGAGATTATATGATTTTTATACTTACTGGTAAATGTTCAAGTAATGAAGTTACACTCTCAGACACATATATTATGCTTCCATCTGTCATGATTGCTAAAAAAAAACCATCAAGAGCCTGAAATTAAATATAATGGTCAGTTAAATGAAAAGAAAAAAGTTTTTCACAGGACAAAAATAAAAATCTAAGATAAACGACAAGGGATCTAATAAGGAAATATCCAGAGTACTGTCAAAATGCTAGCCTTTCCCTTTACAATCGCTTAGTACAAGCAGTCTCCAACTTTTTTGGCACCAGTGACTGGTTTCATGGAAGACAATTTTTCCAAGGACTGGGGGTGGGGTCGGGAGGGGCGCATCAGCCTCTCTGCTAATGACAATCTGTATCTGCAGCCGCTCCCCAGCGCTAGCATCCCCGCCTCAGCTCCACCTCCGATCATCGGGCGTTAGATTCTCACAAGGAGCGTGCAACCTAGACCCCTGGCATGCGCAGCTTACAGTGGGGTCTGTGATCCCGAGAGAATCTACTGCCCCCGCTGATCTGACGGGAGGCGGAGCTTATGTGGTGATGCAAGTGATAGGGAGTGGCCCCAAATACAGATGAAGCTTCGCTTGCTCCGTCTGCCCACCGCCTGCTCACAAGGCCTGGTTCCTACAGGCCACGGACCAGTACTGGTCCAGAGGTTGGGGACTGCAGCCTCTATATGTGATGTCTTTTTGTCTATTTTTAAATGCTTATGAGGGAAAAATATCACTCTTTGGGCATCTCTTGGACAGCTGATTTCAAAAAGACACAGACTTGATGTCCTACCTTCGTCACTATGTGTATTTTGTGATCCAAACATATATACACTATGAATGGCGTATTTGAAGAAGACGCTAACATCTCCAAAGCACACAATAATATGTTTTAGGCACACAAAAGAACGTACTGTTATTATTTTGGATATGTTAACAGAGAGGTGTATGAGGGAAGTGTAGGTAGATATATAAGAAATAAAGTGAAAGGGAGTGTTAGGAAATTATGCTAAAGAACTAGGCTGAGGTCAAATCACAAAAGGCCTTGAATACCAGGTTAAGACATAAGGACTTTCATTCTGCACACAATGGGGTTCTGCCTCAATGAGAGTAGTATGGAAATAGTGTAGATTTAGAAAGAAAAGATAATTGAGTCAGGAAAATCTCATGGCTTTTGGAATAATTAGGGAAATTAATGAGAATCTGAATGAAATCAGGAACAAAGAAGAAAGAATTTGAGCAAGCACTGAGAAATGTGAAGATAGAGTTCAGGTGAGAAGTCACAGCCAGGGTACAAGACTTAATAATAAAGTTGATAAGGGAAACCCCCATTTATTACTTGGTGTATCAGGCCCACACCACTCACGGAAGATACTAACCTGTTACCTGGCCCATCAACTAGTCTCTTGCCTGGCATCAGCATAACACTAAATCTATTGCCTGGTGCATCAACATAATATTAACCTATTATCTGACACATTAACTAACCTACATCGATATCCCACCCTTCAGACCACCCCCACTTAATACAAGTGGGAAAAATCGGGTAGATGGTGCTCAAAATTTAATGGGGAGGCCCCCTCTGAGCCCGCCAGAGAATAAACTTTGATTATCTTAAACTTTGATTATGTGATTCTCCAAACTGTGCCGCTCAGTTTGTTCCCGGGGCCACTCGCTATAACACTTGCTGTAACAAAGTAATCTTGTACTTTATACATTACAAAGTATTTTCATTTAAGGATCCCAGGCACAGAACTGACAGCTGAGGAAACGAGATCTATACCACATAAACAGAAGCAAAAACAAAGACCATATGATCCTCTCAATAGACGCAAAAAAAGCATTTGACAAAATTCAACACCCTTTTATGATAACGCTTAACAGAATAAGGCATAGACAGGGTTTACCTAAAAAATGATAGAAGCCATACATGACAAACCCATAGCCAACATCATACTGAATGGGAAAAAATTGAAAGCATTCCCACTTAGAACTGGAACAAGGCAAGGTTGCCCACTATCTCCACTTCTATTCAACATAGGGCTGGAAGTCCTTGCTATAGCAATCAGACAAGAGAGCGGAATTAAGGGCGCCCAAATGGGAGCAGAAGAGATCAAACTCTCACTCTTTGCTGATGATATGATATTATATCTAGAAACCCCCAAGGATTCAACCAAGAGAATCCTTGAATTGATAAATAAATTCAGTAAAGTCTCAGGATATAAAATCAATGCACACAAATCAGAGGCATTCATATACGCCAATATCAGTCAAAGTGAGAACCAAATCAAAACTCAATTCCCTTCAAAATAGCAACAAAGAAAATAAAGTACCTAGGAATATATTTAACTAAGGAGGTAAAAGACCTCTACAGGGAGAACTATGAAACACTGAAGAAGGAAATAGCAGAGGAGATAAACAGGTGAAAGACAGTAACATGCTTGTGGGTTGGGGTAATCAACATTGTTAAAATGTCTACACTACCCAAAGTGATCTACAGAGTCAGTGTAATCCCTATTAAAATACCATCATCATTTTTCACAGATACAGAAAAAATAATTTTATGCTTCATATGGAACCAGCGAAGACCCCGTATAGCAAAAGCAATCCTAGGCAATAAAAACAAAATGAGATGTACTAATTTACCAGACCTCAAACTATACTACAAGGCTATAGTAATTAAAATAGGTTGGTACTAGCACAAGAAGAGGGACATTGACCAGTGGAACAGAACAGAGAATCCAGATATAAAACCATCCTCATACAGCCATCTATGTTTGACAAAGCAGACAAAAACATATACTGAGGAAAAGAATCCTTATTCAATAAATGGTGCTGGGAAAACTTGGATAGCCACATGTAGAAGACTGAAACAGGATCCACACCTTTCATCTCTCACATAAATCAACTCATGCTGGGTAACAGACTTAAACCTAAGGTGTGAAACTGTTAGAATTCTAGAGGAAAACATTGGAAATAATTTTCTAGACATTGGCCTAGGAATAAAATTTATGAAGAAGACACCAAAGGCAATCACAGCAGCAACAAAAATAAATGGGACCTGATCATATTAAAAGCTTCTGCACAGCCAAAGAAACTGTCACAAGAGCAAACAGACAACCTACAGAATGGGAGAAAATTTTCACAAGCTACACATCCGATAAAGGACTGATAACTAGAATCTATTTAGAACTCAGGAAAATCAGCAAGGAAAAATCAAACAACCCTATCAAAAAGTGAGCAAAGGACATGAACAAAGGACAGTTTCCAAAAGAAAACTGACTAATGGCCAAAAAACATATGAAAAATGCTCAACATCTCTAATCATCAAGGAAATGCAAATCAAAACCACAATGAGATATCACTTATCTCCAGTGAGAATAGCCTTTATTAAAAAGTCCCCAAACAATACATGCTGGCGTGGATGTGGAGAGATAGGAACACTTCCTACACTAGTGGTGGGACTGCAAACTAGTTCAACTTCTGTGGAAACCAATATGGAGATACCTTAAAGCAATACAAGTAGATCTACCACTGGATCCAGCAATCCCATTACTGGGCATCTACCCAAAAGAACAAAAGACACTCTATAAAAAAGACACCTGCACTTGAATGTTTATAGCAGCACAATTCACAATTGCAAAGATGTGGAAACAACCTAAGTGCCCATCAATAGTGAGTGGATTAATAAAATGTGGTATATGTATACCATGGAGTACTATTCAGCTATATGAAACAACAGTGCTATAGCACCTCTTGTATTTTCCTGGATAGAGCTGGAACCCATTCTACTAAGTGAAGTATCCCAAGAATGGAAAAATAAGCACCAAATGTACTCACCAGCATATTGGTATTAACTGATCAACACCTAAGTGGAAATATATGAACAACATCTATTGAGCGTCGGGCAGAAGGGAGGGGGGCGGAGGGAATGGGTATATACATACATAATGAGTGAGATGTGTACCAACTAACTGATGGACACGCTTGAAGCTCTGACCCAGGGGGGCAAGAGGGGGAAGGCAACACACGTAACCTAAACATTTATACCCCCATAATATGCTGAAATAAAAAATTAAAAAAAAAAACAGAAAAAAAAAGAAATGAGATCTATAAAAGAAAAAAGCATGCCAAAGATAAATCACTGGAAGAATTATCTACATAAAGCAATGAAGAGGAGAAAAAAAACAGAAAATGACAAAAGATAGCATACACTGTCATTAAAGAATCAATGGAAGAAAGACAAGGTAAGTTAGGAGTAAGAGGGATGGTTTAGTATAAAACGAGATCAAACAGAATAAGAAAATGCGACGGAATTTTGGTGATTTTCGAAAGAGTTATGTCAACAAGAAGGCAAGTCAGACCATAATAAATGTAGAAATGAATGGATGATCAGAAGGCTTTATTTATTTAATTTTTCTTTTTTTTTTTTTTTTTTGGAAACAGTGTCTCAATCTGTTGTCTGGGCTAACAGTGCTGTGGTGTCAGCCTACCTCAAAGCAACCTCAAACTCCTGGGGGCTCAAGCGATCCTTCTTTCTCAGCCTCCCGAGTTGCTGGGACTACACAGGCATTCATGCCATCATGCCTGGCTATTCTTTCTATATATTTCTGGTTTGCCAATTAATTTCTTTGTATTTTTAGTAGAGACAGGGTCTCACTCTTGCTCAGGCTGGTTTCCAACTCCTGACCTTGAGCAATCCTCCTGCCTCAGCCTCCCAGGGTGCTAGGATTACAGGCGTGAGCCACCGCACCTGGCCAGAAGGCTATTTGTTAATATAAACCACTCATTCATGAGCTTTAGAAGGGAAAAAAGGAGAAAGGACAACAGTTTTAAGGGGGCCAAATATCATGGGAAAGCATTAAAAAAAAAACTAGTATATTTACAGGCTAAGGGAAAGAAAGATGCAGTGGACAAAAAGCTGAAAATATACAACAGAAAAGATACTATCAAGAGGGGTTATTCTTCTATCAAATCAGTTATCACATCAAATTCTAATTTCCTGTTTCAAGAGCTCTCAAAAAATAGCAACCATTGGTAAGAACCCTGTATGTCTTACTCACCTTTGTATGTACAGCACCTGCAGCACTAGTGTGGCAC